AGACAAAGCGACCGCTCCAGCCTTAATTAGAAAAATTATTCCAGCGCTCTGACCAAATTCCGCCTGCTCTGCTCCTCGCTCACGTTCCGCTCCGCTCCACTCACATGCTCTGCTCCCCACACAAAAGAAAATGCAACTGACAAGAGGGTTCGCTTCTCCTACGCTAAGGAAACGAGAGTTGTCATTCAGTCGCGGATAACAAACAAGTATGCAAATGAAATTATCGCGGCCGGAATGTAATTTTTTTTATCGTGCGATTAATCGATTTATCGACTATCGCGACAGGCCTACTTAGCATGTCTTTGGACTGTGGGGGGAAACCGGAGCACCTGGAGGAAACCCGGAGGAAACCCCACGACGACACGGGGAGAACATGCAAACTCCACACACATGTGACCCAGGCGGAGACTCGAACCCAGGTCCCAGAGGTGTGAGGCAACAGTGCTAACCACTGCACCACCATGCCGCCCCCAGAATGAATGTTATTGATTCCCAATATCTTCATGGGAAGACCTACATTTCTACTATTTCTAGTTTTTCTGCGTAAAAGGTTTGAATATAGGTCATCAAAATAATCGAATAATTGATTAATCAAAATGAAATTAAAGATTTCCAATGTACTGAATTGCTCCCTAAATAATGGTAATCGAATTGCTTTGGGGCCTACGACTTACACCGCTTATAGCTACATGAACAAATATAGAGGCACAACAAAACAATAACTTCACACGTTCACAAACCAAAACTGCCAACATCCAAGAACGTCCTGATTTAGCATATAATGTATGTTACACCCTCCTTTACAGACATGTAACATTCTATCAGGCTCCTCAACACCTATGACAGCTGCCATAAGTCATGAGAAAAATACAGGCAGTCCCTAGGTTATGAACAAGATATATTTCCTAAGGCAGTCTAAGTCAAATGTGTAGGTCAGTTAGAACAATCATTACATTTACATGCATAGCTAAGTCAAGCTACGGTTATAGCTTGACTACGCCATTTAATCGTACTACTGTCCTTGTCCCAGTATACAGGCAGGGGAGGGGAATCGATTTATTGACTGAAGTATGTCCGACTCTGCTACAATAGGTGGCGATATGGTTTCATTCAGCTTGCTAGTATTGGGCTTTTTCTGGCTGACCTATTATGGAGCAACAGCTCAACCAGACTAATAAGTACTAACTGGGGAGCAGGTGGAGAGCATAGGCCAGTTTGAATCCGACTGAACGTAAACATGCAGAAATAAATCGACTCCCAATCGCATTATCTGGGTATCTTAGTCCGACTTCAAGAAATTCAATTTAGTACGATTGTACCTCAAGTCGACGAACTGTTAAAGCCACACAATGTTTTCTCAAGCATCACAAAGTAGTGTGTTTGTTCATTATGAAACATTGTATTTAACCGAAATTTTTAAAATAGGCTTCATGGCGTTCTGTTCGTAAGTACGAGTTGTCCTATTCAGTCAGATATTCTTCGCCCAGGGGATGGTCAGTACTTTTGAAAATAGCTGTTGTACCTTAGATAGGACTATAGTGCTCTCTTGCAGTTCAACCACTATGACACAATATGAATAAGAAAATTAATAAAACACAATGGTAGCTATGCATGTTGCAAAGACGGTTTCGAAGTACATTCTCACAAAAGAATTTGTGCAGTAAACCTTCCCAAAAAGTGAAATGAAACAACACATCCATATGTAAATTAAGCCAGCAGAACCTGTTTCAGACCACTTACAAGACATCCAGTGTCTGCGACTACGTGTTTGTAAAGCGCATAAACCCAAAGGGAATAATCTGAGATGGTTACTTTAGAAAGTCATCAGCATCTGAAAGCAAGGAATTTAGGGTAATAAAACTTGCACAACAGCAACTTATGTAGTGTCCCCTTTCATCAAGAAGGGAGTGAATTACAGTCTCAAGAAAGGGAGACTACACAAGGTAACAAAGTGCTGAATCAAAAAGACCGGTAATGGAATAAATAATACAGATATCTAAATTAAAACGGTCCATTAATAACAAAGTCTATGATGAGGCTAGTTATAGGCATAGGGCTCCCATAAGACAGAGGACATGTTTTGCTCCACCTTCTCCAATCTTCTCCATCTTCTGCATTAAAACTTTTTTTTCCAATTCTGTCTCGCGACAAAAGGAAAATAAACAAGAGCCGTGACAAAATCTTCAAAGTACCGTTACTGATAAGGCTAAAACAAAGGATTATTTGTTCCAGCCCTCACAGAACTGAGCCAGTTATTAAGGGGGAAAGAACAACAAAAACTTATGCATGCAGTAAATACACCTTTTAACATCTGTCCTATGCCATATTTGTGGCACAGCGCTGGAACCAGGCAGCGGCGCTTAACCAGAGGCTGATGCAAAGCGCGCCGCCATCCGCATGACCTGCGAGACGCCAAAGATCAGCGGCGGCGCGAACGTGTTCGGGCGGCGGCGTTATCAAGACAAGTCGGCTACCTTTTCTGTATCGCATAACAAGCGTTTAGCTGTAGCCTTTACTAGTTATTTAATGTGAAGCCATGATTTTAAGTATTTTGCACGCGTTAAAACGAGCTGTGATTAAATGATGTAACCGTGAAAACTGTAACCGGCCAATTAGCTAAATCGACTATATCTGATTTACACGTAAAGGCAACATAAATGAACTGAGATAAACCGGGCGTGGCAGGGAATCCGCATTAGTCTTTTTGTAGTTGTATTTATTTTATAAAAACTGTGCGAATATAGATGAAATTCCACATAACATAATCGTAAGTGTATATGTAATTCCAAAATAATTACATTTAAATGGTACTTTGGAATTCTAATATCGCAAACCGTTGTTAATTTTTTCTCCCATGTTCTACGGTAGCTTTCTAGCAGCAATAAAACTCAGGAAATCAGGAGGCGACGTTTAACACAAGAAACCAATAGGGGAAAATGTTTTCCAACAGCAGCAAGAGGGGCAGATTATTACCATTTTTGGGCAAGTTCTTTCTCATGCAAGCCCAGCCCAAGCCACATCGCTTACTCAGATTCCAGGACATTTTCCCCTTCTGGAAGCCAGACTAAAGCCTTGAGATTCAATGCGCCACCCTTCGCTAGTTTCCTGAAAAACGCTATTCGTGCATGAAGCAAGCTGACTGACAGTCAATGACGTTTTCAAAAGACGTTGGAAGAACGCATGCTGCCAAAAGATCAAGCTACAAAAAATATATATTTACTAATTTAATACGTTTAAAGAAAGAAATGTCGTAGTTTCCATGCATGACGTTATTGACAAAATCCAACCAGAGTTTCACTGATGAAGCAAAAGAGAAGGGAATACCTTTAACCAGACCAATGTTTAACTTGGCTATCGCCTCCTGTTTCATGGAAAGATTATTTTCTATGACCTATTTAGTTCAAACTTAAGTGATGGGGATGGAGAATGTGCTGTTCATGAAGAATGTCTGCGGTTAGCACGGGTCAGAAATACACAGAATGAAATCCGTTGCGCTAAAAAAAATGGAATTAAAAAGTTGTTTTCAGAGACACTAGAAAATGTGCGGTTTATGACTGGATACACACTAATAGTAAAATAAAGAACAAAACAGACAACAGCTTATTCTTTGTTATAAATGTACCACGCATTTGACTCCAAGCTACATCAAGTTACTATAGTACTATAGGTTTGAAAAGCCATCCAGGGCACTTGATTTATAGGACTATAAGACTTCATATAAAGGCCTGAGCAGCTTGTTCGCCAGCCTACACGTGACAAATACTAAAACGTTTATTTCTTTGCCATATTCAACAGAAATGATGATCAACTGCTGCCCGTTTTCTCAAAGCAGAAGAATCCTGATCCTATTTCCGGGAGCTTGCTGCGGGTCTGATGTACAGCTGCTCCTCCAAGTCCTCGCTATACCACCTTTTGTTTTCTACAGAAAATTGCAGCCGAACTGTTTTCTTACCTTCCTCTGCTGTTTTTCCCAAGCAGGGTCCAAAAGAAGATCTCGATCCCAGTCGTCCTCTTGATGCATATATTCATTTTCATCGGCCTCGTAATGATCCATGATGATACCTCTATTTCTATAGCTGTCTTACTATTCCAGATCCAGAATGACTTTATTGTGACAATTATACCGAGCGTACGACACTCCGGTTAAACCAACTGATCTCTTTAAATTATTTTTCCGTAATATCCTTTTTTTTCAGAATTCCACAGTCCACTCGGCCTGTTTCCTTACTGGTTTTCCTTTAGCAAAGAAGCTAAAAAGTTGCAAGGACGTAAGTGCACAGACAGCGCCAACAAAACCCAAAACTTTGCCTGAAATAAAAAAAAAAAAGAAAAAGATAAATCGCGTTGCCTCGTTGGTCCAAACACCATTCTCTTCAGCCCACCCTAACCCAGAAGTGGCATTTAATTGGCTGACTCAGCTGTCCGTGTGAGAGCTTCAAACTAGGTTTACAACATAGATTGGCTGACCAAGCCACTCCGTAGTTGCATACTATTATGTTAATATATGCAGTCATTGATAAAAGTTTAGAATGGCATCCATCAATAACAGCAGTATAACGAAAATCTGATTCAAACCAAATACCATATACTGCTGCATTCAGTCAAATCCCCCAACCCGGCTCATATGTAGATGGAAATTGCCCAAAAAATGATTAAGCTTTCAGAAATCGACACATCAATCGTGTTACAATTGCTGCATGATACTGTAATATTTTTTCATATTAAAAGCTTAATTAGGAACAACTAAAACATACGCAGCCAGAGCCCAATAGAATCATATCCTATTCACATCAAATCGTTATGTTTATCTTTTTCATATCCTATACCACATATCTAAGACAGAGATTCTGTAATCAACCCTCAAATAAATCAGCGACATTAAATTAAGTCAATGACAACAACAGTAATGAATAACACAAAAAAATCCGGTGATATCTCTTGAATCTGCCGGCTCCTGAATATAATACGCACGAATGCGATTCCCGTAGTGTTCCAAGGAAATGTGTGACCATGGGCTATTGTTTCGAATACATCGGTCGTGCTTACCTTTACGAAACAATGTCAGTGACATCGTAAATTTCAAATTAATGGACAACAGTTAAATAATTGCTAATGGGTCTTTAATTTTCAGACGTGGAGCAGTCACAAATGAATACTCAATTTCCCAGTAAATGATCATTTACGATTGCTACCTTCATGAGGAAGACATTTTGGAGTTATTTAGAACTGTATATCATACTCTTGCAACACTGACTAGGATTTTAAAAAACCGTTAAATGAATCATACTCTGTCGACTGTTATTCAGCATGCTCTGCTAAATTCAATTCGCCTTATCAACTAGAGTCAAACCGGTTTTTGAAATATTAAAATTCTCCTGCATTCTATGGTAAAGCAAAATATCTGCACCTCCATTAAAGTTCCACTAGGGGCAGTACCTACAAAACACCTGAACCGAAATTATTTGTAACACTGGTGTGAAAGCAGTACAGAAACTAACAATATTCAAATATCTCGCGGAGAACAACGACATATATTTATTAATTATTATTTAAAACATAGCTTTGGCATGAAATGTAAGTATTTTCAAGTCTGATTCCTCAATCATCATATCGATTTATGTCACATTCCTAAGGCATTGCGAAGAGACATTGCTGTGTTGAGACAGGTACAGTCATGCAGACACCGAGAGTCAAGTCTCACTGCCATGTACGGTAAAACTCAAACGACTTCATTTAATGTGGGAGAAGCCATATAAATGCAACCTCGGCCTCTTAGAAGCAACAGAAGATGAAACTAGAGATCCCTTCCTTATAAGGAAAAACCTACAATCGGGTATAGTTCCATAGTGATGTCACAAATTATATGCAGAAACAGGCTAACGCATAAGGGGATTCTTTCTTTAAAGAGATAGCATTCCATTTGTGAATAGAGTGCTAAGTCGTATTTATGCCAATATATTCCCCCCTTTTTCCATTATGGTATAATTTTTAAGTCGCGTGACCAAATAGAGTTTAGAATTACAATCACGAATATGATTGATAAGACATTGGTACCTTTGGTGTCATAATGCAAATACTAAACTGGGTGTTTATTTTATTTTAAACTAATACTAACTGGAAGTAAAAACTTTCTTCTTGGCCAACCCTGCGTAAATTATAAAGGTACCAAAGATGAGTGGGAAAGTTGAACACTTATTCAGCATTACCTAGGACGTTAATCTGAGTTATACAGATTTGTATCCATTATACTCTTGCACATTAAGATTTAATTACTGTTAAACATAAAATCATTTTTTTTCACCTACGGACTTTAGAAATAAAAAAAAAATTTAAGTTCACTTTGAGTTAAAGTAATCAGAGACCTTTCTCTGTGCTGCCAACCCTGACAATCCTGTATCAAAGTCCAAGAATGAATTCGCTCCCATTCTTTCCTCTATTGGAAGCAAATAGAACAAATGCTTCTACGCACAGCGAACCCGTTCTGTACTAGACATTTAAACTCAATCTGCCTAATAGCACAGTTTCTCGGATTGGCATAATAGGATTCTTAGCAAGATCTTGACAGTTTTCCTAAATCAACTGAAAAAATGTCTTTCTGCATTCTATGATAGGAGGGATAAAACACTTTTCTTTGCCCCTCAAGTAACTAGGATTTCAACATATATTAGTATGACATACAAATTTCATGTTTGTGATTGGGGGTGCAAACTATACGATCAATGTTAATTTGCACTTAATGATATAGAGGCCAGAAAACCTAGCCTGAAGAGTACACCTGACAATCTGAAGTGACACCAGGACTAAGTGCCCCCTTCTTTAAAAATATATGACAGTCTTCTTATTATAACCAGCCTTTAGTCTGCATTGAGAGGAAGACACAAGTCTCAGCACAGTCATGATGTATAGCAAAGCCAAATCAGCTGATTCTTCTGGGAAACGCTACCAGCTTCTCAGAACCAAGACTACTTGGCACCTAAACTGCTTTTTCCTAGAGGTGTAAGATTATTGAACCAGCCCTCATAATGTCTAACGAACTGCATTAAATATTGTCTATCTTTTCTACCCTGTCTGCACTTGTAAGTTGAACAGCTTGTGCTTTGTATTGCATTGAAAATAACTTACTGCGCATTACGCCTATTAATATATGCAGTATGCATGACCAGACACACTAGAACAAATACCTTGTAGATACTCGTACTTGCCCAAATAAAACCGATCCTGACATCCACTGCTCTATTTAAGAAGACTAACAGTATGACCAGTATGTCCAAAAAGGTAGCAGGACTAAGCCCAAACAGCTTCAGAGTAGTTTCTCATACTTCAAACAAAGTGGTATACCCACATTTTACTTGTTTCATGCATCTAAACTTTAGGTGTTTTCATAGGCTGATGACATTTTTTCAGAATCATCTGTGGTTCCAGATTATATGCACTTGACACAGATAACTGATGGAATTAGTGTTATTTACATTATATTAAAACACTGGTTACACTGTTTACCTTTTGACAGACCACAAGTTCAGCGAAAGGTTCTAAAATCTGATATATAGAATTCCGCCCAAATTAGACCATAACTGGAGCATTTTGCTTTTACTACAACTCGGGAAGGTCTAATAGTTTATGTACATTGTCAAATCTACTTGTCGCACGTTACCACATATGCAGGGAACACACAGAAAATCTTTGAATCAGATCATCTACGGAGGCTGAATTGTGAGATCAGGTTCATCTATAACCTATGGCTGGTTTTACATCAGCTAAATCACTGCCTTAAAGAAACTCCATTAACTGGCTGTTACATCTGTACCCTCACCTCAAAAGTCCGACTTCAAGTGAATTGCAAAGTAACCCAATTCAATACCTTGGATTAAAAGATAAAATTCACAATTAGTCTTGAAAGAGACTGAACAGCACTAGTTTCTCATAATACTGTAACAGGCTTTTGGCATTCTTGGCTATTAACACAAGTCCTGTCAAGATGAACGGCCCGTACACCGTTCCTGTTACTTAGCAGATTCCTCAGATCCCAACAAGGTAGTTGGGATCAGTGCAATACTATTCATGGAAGATTGCTTTCTTTTCATTATTACACAACCAGCAATTGAATTCATGGGCTTGTGACAGAAAAAAAACATGCATTTCTTTCTAGATTTTTCATGGTTTATGAACTGCTGCCAAAAGGCCTCTGGGACCAGCTATTAGTACTTTAATTCATTAGTGACTAATTGCCATAGTCCAAACTGCTTGAAGTACAAAGAAAAAAATACTTGTTGGGCTAATTTGCCTTGCAGAAACAGTGTAAACATCTTCACATCAGCATAATGAAGTTGCAGTACACTTAAAAAATAATAGCAGTCCACATTTGTCCCTCCAAAAATGTGATACCAGACCAATAAGTCTTCTTGCATCAAACTTCAGATGTTGCAGTAGAACAGTAATGCTGCCGTCGCAGTTTCTCTTCAGAAACATGAAGGGGCTGCGTTTGATGCTTGATGTTTCGATTCCAAGTGAAACTTCTCAAGGGGGATACCAAAGAGGGGACCAGAGGCCTGAAGGTTTGTTCCTGGAGAACTGTAGAAGCTGGCCTCAGCTTCCACCGCTTTGACTGCTTGCTCCTTACCTAATGCGACACCTGCCATCACTGTTACTTGCCCCTTGGGTAGGATCTGTAATTCAATCATTCTTTGTTATGGCAATAAGCTAATTTGCCTCCTGGTACCAAAAATTAGCAGTGACATGCAGCAGAAGTCTGCATGGAGCAGCAGATTATCCTTACGGCACCTTCTCAAATTCCTTCAACAAAGGAAGCCTTACACCCTAGATGGGCGCTCAGTGTACATTACAGCCTACTGTTATGCATGTTTCTTCTAGTCCAAGGTGCGGTCAAAACTTTAAAATTAAAAGGGTTCTCAGCTGCCATAGATTCAATAGGTATCACAAAAGACGACGCTTTAAGAGAAGCAATTATGCAAAAGTCACAAAAATGGCTTGGAATAAAGTGTACTCACACTCACATAGAATTTGGACCCAGTAGATGATACAATAACAAGAAGAAACCGGCACCAATTTGTACCAAAATCGACCGCATGCTTGTGATCTATTTCCCCAATTCGCACATCATAACACTCGAAAAAAAAAAAAAAACATTTGATAACCAAATTATGGTAAATCATACACTAGGCAATGTAAAGATGCCAGTTAGCATAACTACAGGGTGGAAATCTACACAACACAGGGAGTGCATGCAAACTCACCACACACACGTACAGGAGGTAGAATTCAGACTCATGGAGGTGTGAGGCTACCATGCCATCCATCATTTACGCTTAATCTATACTAGAGATATCAGATAGCCTTTAAGGAACGTGTTCTCTGCCTCTAGACAGGTCCTTCCCCTAATCTGATACAGCTACATACAGTATTAGCTATCAACAACATGTAAAAGGACTAAATGAATGGTTGCCTGGCAGAAGAAATGGCTCTCAGAGGAACTGGTGATGAGGACTGCAACTACACTTGGCCAGATCCACTATACTAAGCTATATTACTTACATAAATTAAAAAATTTCCATGCATTACGCAGGAATTAAAGAGGTTTCGTTTTCCTCAGCTCTGAGCCAGTGGTGATATTTGGAGACACTGTGTAGCTGCAGCATCTCAGTTGCCAGTGGGCACATCACTACTGAGATGAAGCTTTCATCCCTGCAACATTTTTTTTCTAGAAGCTCTGCAGCGAGGACTCCAGTTCATCCTCAACCACATTCAATTTTCTATTCCAGTGAACAAGAATTTATATAACATTCTTACACCAAGAATGGCATAAGGTAACCTGGATTTTTCATAGCCCTTTTTAAATACAAGTACACTTATTAAAGTCTAGCAATATATTAACAAGTAGTTAAGCCATGTGTCCAATATCAGTTATACAAAAATAGCATGTTAATGAATAAGTTCATTGTAACATGTATAATCACTTCCAAGGATTTTTAAATTACCTTGGTTACTTGATGTTCGGGATTTGAAATTGAAGAGGTCAGATGTTGAAAAAGAAGAGACATCCATGTAATTTACCTTAATATAAAATGAAAACCTTGTGCTGGGAAACTGAAAAAAACAAAACCAATTAATATATATTATGCAGTTCTTTGCAGGGAACTGTGACTGATAATACTGTGATACAATTTATTTTCAAGAAGCAGAAAGGGATGGCATACTGGCTAAATCCTGGGTATGATCCTGGTATCATCAGCCAAATTTCTTCCGTTATATCTTCACTGCTACTGATTAGTTATATATCTGAACATTTATCAAAGGTTTAACAGGACCACTAAATCTGCTCCTATTCAAATAAGTAACAAACATGAATAAAAATTACTCAGTTTTCAAGAACATTTAATGTCTGTTCATAAACAGTCTCAGACAATACAGAGCATTTATCCAACAGTTCTTTAGAGCAACAAACCCTTTCTGAATGCAGAGAGAAAGTGATAAAACAATTTACTGCCAGAGTACTGAAATAACTATTAATGCACAACTCAAAACAGACACCGTGACAATATGTTTCAATGTAGTGGATTTTGCAGGACCAATTCTAACAGCCTGAGCGTTAATTACAAACCACCCCCTAATATGCAAAAATTGCTGCAAGGATTCCATACCTCCCTCTCATTTCTCAGCATAAATCAAGGGAGCTATAGATGTCAGTCCACATATGGACAACTAAGTTTTGAAGAAATTTATTTTTAGCAAATACAATAAAATAATTCCAAAAATAAAATATTATAAAACTGGATTAGCAAATGCACTACCATAGTTATGGCCAGTACTTCTATAAACACCAACAATTTTAATGCACAATAAGTCAGGCATTAGTTTAATGGTCAGCCAAAATGGCTGACCTACACACTGATAAATCAACATGTGTATTCTAAAAAATGGTATATGGAACATAAAGGGGTACCTCTCTTTACATTAAACTATATGAATAGCGTCAAAAGTTTGCAGTGCTTATTATAAATGTTACCAGTCTCCTTTTAAAAACAAAAACTGAAAAACCCTGACGAGGAACCACCCACGTTCCACCCACGAGATTTCACCACATCACGTCTTGAATAGCTTTTCTGGGGGGGAGCCATCAGAATCGACTCCCTCTAGCTCGACTCGAGTCTGTTTCAGGCGTAAACCCTTAGAAGTGCCCAGTGCACATGATCCTTGATATTTTTCTTCCTGGGTCTTAGAGTCAAAAAGTTGCATGTCAAGTTTACCATCACTCTCTTTTGATGTAGACGACCCAGAGTTCTGGTCCAAGTCCCTATCATGTACATCATGGCATTTTTGCCCGTTTATCCCTGGCTCCAGCTGCTGTGGAGAACCCCAAGCACTGTCTGAAGACTGAAAGGTATGATTCTGAGCCAGATCCGCATCCTGCCCTTCCTTTGCAGTCTCTGAGACTACAGTGATCATTCCCATTTCGTCTGCTTTCCCACTCCTGAGCTCTCTCTTGTCAAAGTTTTCATCATGTGAAAAGTCAGGCAATGCCTCAGGTTCCCGCTCCTGTGCCACCATGATTGCTCTCACCTCACCCCCCAATCTATCTGGTGAGGGGATGGGGGTTGAATTGTATGGGTTTCTTGACTCAATATGAGACCTGTCCCTGTCTGTGGAGGAAGTCCCTTGGGGCACAATCTTCACTGAATCTTGTGCCTCAACCGAAGATGATGATGATGATGATGAATCCTCAAGGGAAATCTTTGGGTAACTGCAAGAATCCACCCCTGAATACAGTGTTTGTGCTGACTCCGAGCGATCCACTTTGTGGCAGGGGAATCGCATGTGGCGCCTCCTAGTGGCATTCCGTTGACGTGTCCTGGCTCTCCGGCGCTCCTCTTCTTCCGTTTCACTACTAGAAGTGGAGCTGGAGGTGTTTGAGGAGCTTGACCCAATTGGGGAGCTGCTATGACTAGACAAACTGGAGATGTTCCTTGGGCTAGGAGAACGTGGTCTGGGCATTGGGTCAGGCCAGAACCCACTGGAATCTGATGAGTCATTGACCAAATCCATCAATCGCATCGACTGATGGCCTATCCCACTCCGCCAAGACTCCTCCAGTTCCTCTCTATACTCTCCCTCCGATCCATGGGGTCCCACTATGGAAGAGGAGTCATCACTCTGTTGGCCTGAAGCAGGAGAGGTCCCTGTGGGGGCAGTGGTGTTCCCTCCATCTCGAACAGATCTCAGTGGGCGTCGCCCTCGTGCATGAAGCTGCAGGATGGCACCCTCACTCAGGTCACTGTCCGAGTCAGAGCTCCAGCCCTCGATTTCCCGCCGCACCAGTGAATCAAAGAAGGCCATCATGCGAGGATCTTCCTGAATGGACTGACTGACATAGTCATGTGACAAGCCACTCCCACTGTTGAGGACCAAGCTGATGTACTCCTCATGAGTGTACAAGCTGCGAGACTTGTCCTCCACACGCCCTTCAAGGTCTCCTATACTTTCAGGCTGCTGGTATGGACTCCACACCTGAAAATTAGAAAAGGTTCTCAGAATGTACAACAGATGAAAAAAAGACAAAAAAAAAAAAAAAACACACACACACACACACACACACACACACACACACACACACACACACAGGTAAAGTTTAAAATTCAGGACAATATACTCTGATTAACACTTATCACATTAAGTTAAACATTTAAAATTCTGGTATATTAATACATATAAAAATGCATAATCTGAAAATCAAATGGTGTACATTGTCCCCCACAGTCTATTGCTTAAAGCACAATTTACTGGATTTGTCTAGGTCATTTTGTTTTATAGCTATTTATAGCACAACGCAAAACATTTGCGACATTTGACAAAAGACTTTTTTTTTGTTCTATTAATAATTTTCCTCTTCCCATATCCCCTTGGGGGTTCCGTAAAATCCTCTGAGCTATTTGGAGAATCATATCAGGATGAGTTATATAGTATTACTTAAAATCAATTATAGGTCAATCAATTAGCAACCTGCCATGATGTGGACCTGACTACAATCACCACTCACCTTGATTACTTTTTCCACACCTGAGGAACAGATCATATATGTGTGGGGGTTAAATCGAACCTGGTTGACAATAGAACGGTGGCCCTTCAAAACCATAAATGCTCCATTCACAACTCGACCTGGACCCCCTAAAATAACAGAAGAACAATCAGTTTCACAAACATTTGAGTACCCATAACAAAAGTCCTGCACTCATGCTCACCTGCATCTGGGTCTTTAGGAATTCTCCACATATAGAGATTGAAGTCATCAGACCCTGACAGGATGTACTGGGAGGTGGAGAGAGAAAAAAAACTTTGTACAAAGCCATTACACTGCGAGAATGATCAAATAATTAGCGAATTTAAAAGAAATATTCAGTCTGATTACTAATATGATTCTTACATTTTAAAAACAAAAACATTACATTCTTACATTTTTATTAGAACTGTTTTCCATGTTATCCTGTAACATGAATTAAGAACTAGAAGAGATAGCAATTATTGGTGAGATTGTAGAAAAAGTTCCTCCAATACTACAGCCACTGACATTTCAGAACTACAATCAAAACTGCAAAAACATCTTATTATATAAACAGAAAACTTTATAAAGCTTAAAAGACCTGAGCACATGAATAAAGAACAGTTAACACAAACACTGAAGATCTTTATGTTCTGATAAAAGTAATTATTCAAAATCTACTTGATACCAAAGGCCAATGTTTGCAAGCCAAGCAATAGTTTACAACCATGTGATTGATATCAGTATTGTTTTTAAATACAACACCATGGAGTGTTTTCCCTTATTAATAAGGATGTTATGATAAAACAAACAAGGCGTCTAGTTTTAGATACATTCTTTGCTATATATGTTTGATTTGAGGATTAGAAGAGAAAGTTGCAACAGATTATAGTGAAATGGGGTGTGTTGAAAGAATGCTTAAAGGACATTTAAAGAGACAGAGTTCAGCCTTACTAATTACAATTACAACAAAATTGCCATTGCATGTGTCATGTGTGGCATGTGTCCCATGCCATCATTTCATTTCATTACAGAAATTTATGGAAATATTTAAGAATTCATACAAAATGTCAAAGAGTTTAAAGACAGTCACATTGACGTTGCAATTTTATTTGAGGGTTATTTGATTATTATATCTCAGAATTCAAAAAATATCTCAGTTCAATTCATATATTGGTCTATTCTCCCAAAAAGCTGTAATAATGCATAAATGACACAGGCAAATATATAATATTCTATGTGGTTCAATCATAGTCTGACAATTGCAATGGGTATACAAATGTATCCTGTCTGAAGTAGACAAACAATTTGGGTCATACTGGAAATGGAAAATATTAACCTTAAAGTAAATGTCTGAAAAGCCATTGGCTGTCCCTCTGATTTTCCAATTTATCACCCCAAACCTAATCATCCAGTGCAAGTATTTCATGTACAACAGAAGGTTTTAAAATAGCTAGGATTATGCTCATAATACCCTGGAAAGTTGCTGCGCTCATGTTTAAACAAAACACAAAAAGCATTTCTTCATCTCACCTGGTCTCGATCACCAGCGAAGCAGCAACTTTTCATGGTGCAGGAGTTGAAGTAGCCTTGGTTGTCAAACTGAAAGCTGGGCAAACGAGAATGTAGCTCGTACAAGACAGGAGGAAGACGGCGACGCAGTGCCAGCAACTGAGTGCCGGTGCTGTTGAAGCGGACGCTCATGGCACTTTGGAGCGAGAGACTGCCGCCGTAACGCAGAAGGGAACTGAATGCAAAAAATAGAATAAAACAAAGGGCATAGAAAAAGGTTAGTAACTTAAAATAAGTGAGCCGCATGGCATGATAAAGCACAAAATCAAACCAACAAGCAAAACTCTCATATATTACATCATTATACAATTATCATCAGTGTAGCAATTCCTGCACTTCAGCTAGTCAATATTTTTAATCACAAAGGAAAAAAATCATAAAGTTAAGTATGTTTATAAATCTGAATAAATGTGGCTGTCATGGAGAGAACTGGGCCAATTTAAATACAATTCGAAACTGATAATGCAATGGCTCCCCCTGATGGAACTGTCCGGGGCCTGCGCTCCAATTCAAGAAAAGATCAGTTATTTCAGTTTATTTCAGACAAATCTCCAGAGGGCTTTGCAAAGTGGACAAAACACTACCGAAATCGTACTGGTTTCAACTTCATGGGAGCCAGGTGCAAGGATGATCAAGCCTTTCTGAAACCGCTATTGTAAACTGGAAAAATCTCTAATAATCTTCCTTCTAGGTCAGGCTATAACTACATCCTGGGTACTTCATGATAAACGTTAACTTCTTTTGCTCCCTATTAGTATTATTCCATAAACTTATATTTAGAAAATATTTACTAAATCCATCTTCCTCCTAAGCAATCTAATTTATACCAGAATCGTAGAAAGTAAATTAAGCAAAATAATTCAAGTCAAAGTGACGACAAGGACAACCAAGGCTACTCCGGGAGGCTAAATGCGACATATCTATGTCCGTCAAACTCAAATGTCTTCTTTTAAGATATTTGCATTGCCGTCATTCTGTGGTGATATTTAAGTTCTCCTTTGCAAGACTTACAAACGACTGCATACTGAACTGTTGCTTTCGCTCTTTAATCAGACCCTCAACTGCTACCAACCGTCTTCCTTCCACCATATTGCAGAGTAATCATGAAGGAAAATTTTAACTGATGCTTTTAAATAATGGAGTAATTGAGTTTAATTGAATAATCATGACAGCTCTAGTGTGAACCCAAGCAAAACTATCACGGTCCTTGCAATGTGCATGAAATGCCATGTCGATATTAATATCGCAAATTCTGAAGCTCGTTGGTATGGCGGCACGCTGGGTAGCACTGTTACCACACACCACGAGACTATGTGTGTGCCACTGCATGTTCACCCTATGTGTGTGCCACTGCATGTTCACCCTGTGTGTGTGGCACTGCATGTTCACCCTGTGTGTGTGGCACTGCATGTTCACCCTGTGTGTGTGGCACTGCATGTTCACCCTGTGTGTGCGGCATTGCATGTTCACCCTGTGTGTGTGGCACTGCATGTTCACCCTGTGTATGCATGCGCCAATTTCCTTATACTTTCCAAAAACATAAAGATTAAGTGAATTGGACCGCCTCAATTGAATGTATGGGTGACTGAGTGTGCACTCTGTCATGTGTAGTTGGTTTCTGCCTTGCACCAGTTGCCATGTATATATTATATATCATATTATAAACGATTACACAATGAATTGTGAAATTGGTAGATTACTCGATTACTGATAGAATCAACAGTGACTGCCCTACACTTGTTATTCACTTCAACAAGTTAATACAAGAAATCTTGTATGTGGCAGAACATGTCCACTATGATTGTTGAAATTAGCATGATTTAAAAATGGCTCAGTTTTCGTAGTTCTTTTGGATTGGTTCTTTCCAGTGAATTGGTGAAACGTGTTTTCAAATCTAAAAGAATCAAATTTTTTGTACATCCACATATTGCATAGGTCAAAAAATCTAAAAAGATGACAATTATATAAAAAGAAAAATAGCAACGTTTTATATTTGCTTACAGAAAACTACAGTCTATGATAAGCACAGACTTTTCATAGACTGTAGTTTCTGTAGTCATTTTTCCACATATTGTAATCCATTGTATTTGTGCTGTTTGCATGCCTGGCCACATGGAGGCTGTGTCTCACTACAGCCGATTCATGATGGTCAAAAAGATGCTTTTTGAACCATTGGCTGCATTTTCTGACCCCACTAGATGGTGGTCTTTGTTCAAAAAAAGGGCTCAAAGCATGCCTCAAAGTAAACCAACAGCACCATCTAGTGGGTCAGAAAATACAGCAAATGGTTCATAAAGGGTTGGTTTGGCCATCACTACTACTGACTACAAGCAATCAACAAGGGCCTTTATACATTTCTAACAACTTAACACAAGATACTGCATGCATAAAATCCATTGCTTTTAATGCCCTTTGAAAGGTAAAGGATAAATGCTTGCACGTGTATGGAGAGAGCATATCAGGTAGGGTTATTTGGCCCAGTGTAGTATCCCAACAAGGCCATATTTCTTCCAGAAAAGCTCATGTCCCATTTTTGCACCCTTCTGGTTTAAAAAATTTAAGGTCAGTCATTAAAGCTTAAATTAAAAGGAAACCAAAGGGGGAAATTGAGGTAAATCAATCCTGAGTGCCGTATATGCAAAAGCTGGGATAAATAAGCTTCACATAGCAATTAGCAATTTTTGCACTTCCCAAAATATAAATTCAACATAACCCTTGTGAGTTGTACCGTTTCATTTTTGGAAAAAATGTGTATGTGACAGAAGTCTACGATAGAGCAGACATAGAAGTACAAGAAAAATAAGAATCAGCAAAAAAAAAATAAAAAAAAAAATCAGCAAAAACTGAATTCTACAAAATTGTAATAAGTTACATTCAGGTTATGCATGTATGTTTATGCAATCAGTCTTCCTGATTAAATTCTTTTCAGAATTTAATACCTAACACTTTAAAAATAAAAACAGCTCAGACCTTATATTCTTAAAGTCTATTTCTAGAATTTACAAGAAAAGATATACAGAATACCCCAACCCGTCTTCCTCTCAGATCCTTCATAACTGGGGCTATTTTAGGTTACATTCAGAAATGCATGATTTTTCCTTGAAATTTATCTATTATACATCTGGGTCGGTCTTTCAGGCCCCAAAACCAAACATCTGACGTTCTCGCCCCTTCTTTCAAATGCGTCTTACTTTTCAAGAAGCATATCTAACGTAACCTACTACTAGATGCTTAGAACAGACCACGCATTCCAAGGAAACGTATGTTATGTTGTTGGTCTGAGATACATTTTATGCCAATTTAAAATCAGAAAATATTAGGGTAAATACCTTGGACTGGCCATAGAAAATTATCAATGAATCCACAGTTATGACAAACATTTCCTTTTGATTCAGTTTTAATTTTATCTAAATTAAAAAAAAATGCATTAAACAAAAAAAACAGTTCAGGAAAATACAGAAATGTATGCTCTGCACACTATGAAGTAACTAGAGTCAATTTTGACAGAATACAAAAAAATTTTTATTAATTAAATTTTTTTATTTAATTGACTAATTACAAATCCATCTATGATTGATTTAATTAGCAAGGATGAAAATGATTATGATTGTCTCGGAGAACGGATGCAGCGATCATGCAAAAGCAGCGGAGGTAAACTTCAGATTGATTTTTAAACATATATTAGGCAGTCTATAAAAGGAATAATAATTATAACTGCAAAACTTGATATGTTTTTTTTTCCTATGACAGAATTAAAATAATTTAGCGAAACTTTAACCCCCTCGCACTATAATGTCAATATCACAAATGTAGTCTAATTCAACAAGTAGCACAATATTTACCTGCGCGGTTTGCGAATATCCCACAATCCAACTCCCTCCTTAGAGTTAGCTGTGGCCAGTAGTCTGGGTTCTGCTGGGTTAAACATCACACTATGGAATGCAGATGGATAGTTTGCCAAACAAAAAGGTTCTACAACAAAGAACAGAATTGGATTCTTCAGTTAATGTCATATCAATTCCACTCAAAAGCAAAGCTTCCGCAGTGCGCTCATACATTATCTACTCTTATTCTGGCTTATTTCGTTACCAAATGAGTGATAACTTCTAGGCATGCCTGAGGATAAGTTGCAGTACAGATTTATGATGATTCCAATCATGAAAATAAAAAATGAACTGCAAAACAGCTCAAATTATTATTAGGCTACGTAATACATTCGTTTTCTGAGCTCTAATTGCATTGTTTGGGCAGTAGAAGGTGCAATAATTTGTAACCAATTGTTGCAACACTACGGAATGGAGAACTGGTTATTAAGAAAAGGCCTATTTTTTATTAACTATTTTCATTATTAATAAAAGGAATATTTTAGTTAATATGCTACTATATATTTTACTCCAACCTTTACAAATGCTGAAAATTATTGTTGGTTATTAAGAAAATGATTCAAAAGTATTTTTTTTTAAATTTAACATTAATATTTAAGTTAATAAAGAATGGGAAAATAAATGCATTGTTTTGCTCAATTTTTTTTCTCAAAAATATTTTGGGAAAATGAAATCATGAACCCAATATCACAAATCAAACCAAATCACGAACTGGGTGATTTCGTTACATGCCTAACAACTGCATAAAATGTAGAGCTTGCATTTTGGCATCTAAATCCACTGCACAGATAATTGTGAAGCTTGGCAGAGACACTCAATAGACAATACCATTAAAAAAAATTCTACAAGGCACATAAAATACACATGTAAATATCGTACCTCCATGTGGTGGTTCACGTGTATCCCAAATAAGTACACGGCCATCATCAGAAGAGCTGGCAAACACGTTGTCATTAACTGGGCTAACAGACAATCCGTAGACTGCATCATCGTGCAAAAACACGTTCACTGTTTCACCCCTAAAAATACACGAGACAACAGAATGAACAATTTTGTACAATATACATAGAAAGTAAATACTACTATCATGGAAACTTTTGAGATAAATCCTCCATTAATTTAATTAAAAACAAGAATTAAATATTTTAGTGACATTATTTAAGAAATATGACTTTTAAAGATTATGTAACCTTAGGGCCTACAACAACAGATTATGAATGATGCAGACTATAATGGATAAACTTTTACCTCTCCACATCATGAAGAATGACCTGTTCATCATTCCCTTCAAGAAAGAAAGAACAACAATATTAAAATATGCGTAACATGGAAACACGGCCCACTTTAGAGAAACAGGACACAGCACTGCACATTTGAAGCTATAAATCATCAGTTTTCACTGACAATAGCCCAGTCTCCCCTATTCAGTGACAAGGCACAATGAGCACATAAATCTGATACAAAAACATTTGTTGCTACAGTCTATGAACATATGTAATTTCACAGATGAATCTAGCTCACCCATTCCAGGGCTTCATAAATAATTAATCATAGGCCATTTTCCCCATCTCACAATGTTGCGTCACCATATGCAGTCAGGTCATTCTCACAAACAAATTAAATTTTGTTAAATATATGAGAAGAAACTGCAAAAAATCTTATATTGTCATTATGACTGGTTAGCAAGTGACGTCTGTTTCATGGACCATAGAAGTCCATATTAACTTATAAGCATATTTTGCAATATTTTCACTGAAAATAGCTTTACTGTAACAAGTTGTCTATTGTACTACACCGAAGAAATACAAATTTTAAACAAATCAAAGTTTTATATAAAAATAAATGTATACGTTTGTTATACACCACATATTTTCATTAAATAATGTCATGATTTCCCACAATAAAACCAATTTTGTACAAAATTCATGTTTCTCATTACCCTAACTTTTACAAAATATTGTCAAAACTACATTAATATCAATAAAGTTCTCTCTACTCCAAATGCATCACAAAGAAGGGAAGATTAAAAACAGACAAGGTAAATGTTGCGCATTTTCATGGTCATCATGTGAGCTCATTTCCACAACACTTTATCCCACATAATTTAAGTCAGTGTTGTGATAGTAATTCTTAAAATTATGGTAATGATTTCAGCTTTTATCCATGCATCTATAATGACCTAAATAAGACCTTTAATAATGAAAAACAATAACACATGCTACTGCAAAACCACATATACAGAGTATAGTTAAGGCATTACTTACTGATAAGACGCGTTTTAATGTAGCATATTTCGTTTAGATTTGAGCCACTTGCTATTTAGAATACTTTGTGTACCATTACATCCCTATAGAATACAAATGCTAATTGAGAGAAATGAATAATTTTATCTGTTAGGTAGTGTTTTTTTTTTTTTTTTACATTTTATGCATGGTCCTTGTAAATGTACTCAATAAGTAATATTGTCTATCCTTAAAGACAAAAAGAAATCTAGGGTAAGGACATTAAATCAGAAAATACAGCAACTTTCACCTTCTAGACCAGTACAGGAGAAGAGAGCTACAGATACTACAGGCACGAAAGACTGGAGCATTAAAATATCTGGTAAATGGACTGAGGTTGCAGTGGTTTGACAATGAATGAACCACAGTTCTAAAGACCTTCAGCCATATAGTGGAGGGAGGTATAAGCTCTCTTTGAAATTAGTTAGAGACCAGAGAAACTGTGTTACCATTATAATCCATTGTATTATTCTTCACTGAGGAAAAAAACAACCCTAATTTGAACACCCATTGGCATGAGAATGTGATTCTTTTTTTTAAATTAATAGCTCTTGTAATCATAGCATAGCCCACATCCCCAATTCCCTTCACCTAAGAGTACTATGGGAATCATATACAATCAAAGCATTACTCAACCTTATCCTGCCATCTGACATTAAAGGCCCCTTTGCAGAAATTATTAACATAGATCAAGCAAACAACATTCAGCCATTGCAACAAATGATAAGCCCATCTACCTCGTCACCCAAATCTCATAGAAAGACCATTTATAAACAAAGGGACCAAATAAAATGAAATACCAAGCTGCAGTCCTCCCTAACACACAATGCATTAGCATAACATATCAGTTTTGTCTAGTTTTTTTAATTAGCTTGAAGACATACTCACATTACAGTGACTCCCCTAACATTATATTAGGGTGGTGCCCCAGCATTATACATTTAACTGCATAAACTGCTGATTTTGTCCCTGGGATAGTTAATAAATTTTATTATATCAATGTTTATTTCTGCAAAAAACAAAAGTATTTTATCAAATCCAGTGCAAGAGCTATGGAGATGAGAAAGTAGACAAAACTATAACCTTCTTTTACAAATTGACCATATCATATCGTTTATTATGGGTTACATGTAATGCAGATGTAATACAGATGAAAGAATTAAAGACATTTATCTAGTGTTGTATTTGATCCGAAAACTTCTAGTATTTAGATTTTTTTGGCTCTCTCTTTGGGGAAACTGGTTTTAAAGATAATTAAAGATAATTAAATTTTAATAAACCTAAAAACTTAAGGTGATGTCAATTACTCTACACAAAAAAACAAGCACTATTTCATTGTCACATATTTTTCACAAAAAAAAAGTAAGTGAGAATGACCCAATGTTGCAACAAAGCAGCAAGCAGAAATCTCCACTTTGAATGTATTTGAACTTAAAGGATCTCTGGCCCTGTTTTCAAAACCACCAATGGGGACATTTAACAAAGAATACATTTGCATCTTGCTATTATTCATAAAGTGCACCAACCCAATTTTTCAGTGCCAATATAATTCTGATACCTGAACAGAGGATATCAGTCGATATGAGCTCTTTTTAAACTAATTAATACAAATAGAAAGAAAAAATTTCCAAAAAAGCTTTGTTAATTTGGCTACTAGAAACATACATAACGTACTGTTCCACCTTGTTCGTACATCTTGTTTTAAGCATTTTTGAAGCATTGGCAGTTCAATTTCAATATCTTCCAAGCGAGTAAACATAAGCAGTGAATGATTAAAATGCCCCACAGTTTTTCTCGCACTGGCACCAGAACCACTTACACTTCGCTGCGATAGCAGCCAATCGTGTATCACAAGCTGTAGCGATTGCGCAAAACAGCCCAAGCTAGCGACTCCCAAATCGTCCACTGCTGTTTTACTTGCGATGTCTCACACAGTTGCATGAGCGTGGTTTAGTGGGATACTTCCACCCCTCAGAACTTTGTTTTTACAAAGATCGCAAATCACTGCACTACTACGCGTGTTAGTTTGCTTTGCAAGCATGCAAATCCCATTTGCTCTCGTCACATCTGCTGTTCTTTCATTCCTTCTACTCCAAAGGGTATGCACATGACGTCACAGCAGGTATAAGTCACTGCACTCACACCGACAGATTGGCAAAAAAACGGAGGGCCTGTCCGCACTAACACATTTTAGTTTAGAAATTTAAAAAAAAAATTCTTCTGATTAACCCTCTGTCAGCACTACCACAGATCTTTTTTTCCCCGAAATAGAGAAAAAATTCACTGCTCTCCAACAACTAATCTTTCTGTAAATGCATTAGCGTGAATGCTCATAAACGTAAACATTTTGTTACACCTTCATCACTGAGCTCCGACTGGTCTGTACGTAGCTCGTGACCCTTTCCTGATTAGCTCTCTCTGTCTGGATGTTTCTTTTCCTGACTGGTTATTCTTCACGGGAATGAAGAATGCTTTTCCTTTGTTTTCATGGAAGTAAGCCACATGTGAACACGGTGGATGCACAGGACTTTCACTACCTGACATATGCTATTTTGCTTGCTTGTGTGCAGCTAAATCATGTTCTTTATACATTGTATGCTGTTTACAACTTTTTTGGAGCTCAAAACAAGACCAAGTTTAAGTGCAACTCTAACTTATGATAAAGACCCAGGCATCGAACAACAGAGTAAACTCAAACTGAGGGGAAGACAATAAGACGTGTAGTGACTAAATTTGTAGATCCCCGTGTTGTTGCTGTGATGGTTCCTTTTATATACAGCTTTGTGTTTGTGATGCTAGAGTACTTTGGTATTTTGCTTTTGCTAAATAAAATACGTGCATTTACTTTAAACACATAGTTGTGAGATTAATCAACAGTCAAGTGCTTATAAAAACTGGAATTTATTACCAGTCAAAGTGAAATTAAATGATTCAAAATATATACTTTGGCACTTCTATAATAACAAAAAAATTTGGTTGGACAAAAAACATGCAAATGACACTTTGTGCTCCAGCTACAACAAATAAATAAAAAGTGCCACTTCTAAAAATATATATTAGCTTTTGTTAAATGCGCACATGAAAAATGTTAAATACATAATGTTAGAAATACATACATTAACAACCACTCTTACGGCTACATTATTTGCCTTTTACGCAGAGAAGTGAACGCAGAAGTTTTTTTCAATGCTAGTGATAACGATAGTGCTGCCAGAGATCTTTTCTTTCGGAAACTCCCGTAAATTTTTTTAAGGTATTAGTGTGGATGTAGCCTTAGTGTTCAGCTTGACTGCCATGAAAACACATCTAAAATGGGAAAGAGCTGGCATGCGACTGATCGTACAAATCGGAGCATCTTCAGACTGCCAAAAACTAAATAAGTATCGGGTGTGGAACGGTCACATATGCCCGATACCCAATCCATCTAATTGGATTGGTGCAGATACCAGTCCCGAATATGAGATTGGTGCACCTCTAATCACTGATTCAGTACATCCCCAGTTGGTGAGTGGTAACACATCAAGATCAAAAAAGCTCTCAGAAAAAACAATTTTGAAATCCAAGTGTTTGAGAAGAACGCATTTTCATTAAAAATCGAAAAATCACATTCAGAAAACTACAAAACTGTTTAAAACAAATGTGCAAAGCTTACACCTGTGCCTTTAACCAATAAAAGTTAAAAGCCAGGCAATTTTTCCAAGATTCAGCTTTAACACTTCCCACTTGCCCCATGAGCGTAAGATGTTTTACCCCCAGAGAAGACGTGTCGGTTCGTGCTGTCAAAGGCCAGGCAGAATATGTTAGAAAGGTGCTCTCCCTTCAGTTTGAGAGGTTTCGAGCAGGAATGAAGCGCCTTCTCCATGTGCCAGAGTAGGACCCTGCGGTCATCTCCTCCTACAATCACAGAAAAGAAGCACATGTATAGTCAATTTGAAAGATGCATCAAATATTCTAGTAAAAACTGAAAAATCATGATTACTGGACAGTGCATGTCCTATGTTCAAAAGTAAAAAACAATGAGGTATCATTTTGGATAACAAATAATAGCACAATAAGGGCATTTACTTGAATTTAGCCAGATATCTTACAATTTATAAAGTTTTTTTTATTGTTCTTTCAACAATAAGCTGTTTAACAAGTTTTAAGAAATATCAATATATTCGGTTCTGCATGCTTTCAATTTAATTACCTTACAGACCCACAATAAGTTGTATAAATCTTAAACCAGGTTAAATACAAACATGAACTGAATTGCAAAGATGTGTGCAAATCGAACACCTTTCACAAAGTACTTACCCACAGATCAGTTTCAATGTATTAGTATTTAGTACATTTATCTGGCAAAATAAAATTGCAAATGACATACAAAATAAAATAAAGCTGCAAATCCAGTCAATGAGTGATCCAGAAACTTCAGAAACGTGGCTTAACCACAAATTTTGACAAAGACACTTGGCTTTTCCTCGCTTCATTAACCAGCAGCAACCACAACTATCACTGAGACTCCAAAAATCAAAACTCAAAATGTGGACACGTTTCTTTCAGCTGCAGTCTGATTCTCTTCCTACAAGCTACTTCCTTCATTTATCTACTAACTTGCAGAAGGCACTTGCATTTATCCCTGATCTCTAAAGCTACAGTCCACTAATACTAGCATATTACAATACAGAGCTTGCGATAGTTAATCGCAGCGTTTCTCAAACCAGTCCTCAGGCACCCCAGACGGTCCACATTTCCCCAGGGAATTGGGAGAACACAAAAACATGGACCATCTGCTGGTCCCCGCGGACTGGTCTGAGTAACACTAGTTTATGAGATCCATGGTAATAAAAAAGCTAGAGTTGTATGCAAAAATTAACCTTACAGAGGAGTGCGCTTTTTCCGACAACTGGCTACCTGGGTTCAAGACTCGATAAGTTGTAAGAAAGCTGGACATATCTGGCGACCAAAAATAATCTGATTAGGACTAGGCAGAGGAATATGTAGGTAAACACAGTGGTAAAGCATGATTCAATATATACGAGCTTTTGTGGCACTGCTTGCCTAACAAGACCCATACAGGTGGTAACTTAGAAAATAAACGTAAAGTAGACTAATAAAGACATGAACTGTAAAATGAGCGAACCATTAAGGTGTTAAAAATAAAATGTGCATTAGTACATTAGTGCTGTGAATGTGATTGTAAGTACTGATACCAGCATTATAGAATAAAGTAAAGCAGAGGTGGGTATTTCAGGTCCAGAGAGTACAAATCCAGACCAACATTTTGTTTCAACCAACCAGTTAAGTACTCTGTGACTGTGACTCTTTACACTCAACTGGTTGGTTGAAACAAAATGTTGGTCTGGATTTGTACTCTCTGGACCTGAAATCTCTCTGCAGTAAAGTGATAACTTTAGGGCAGGATATCAAATTCCAAATTAAAAGGACAGGCCTGTCCAAAAGATTTTGAGGCATTGCAATATACACATTAAGTATGGTGTAATATTCAGAAAACTACAATACTTTTAGTCTCAAATCCAGCGAATTTTAACTGTATATTAAAAGAGTTAGCTAACTGGTTAAAACTGGTTAGCTAACAAATCCCTTCAAATAGGGATGGATCCTAAATTAGCATAACATTGCTGGGCAGGATCAACTGGCCATTATTTTGGCTATAACATGTCTGGAAAGCAATATTAGCAACATATATAGAAGAGTGATGATTGGGGTATGACTGACAGCAGTAAAGTCTGCTCAACTAGCCAATATTTCATGAAAACAGCTGCACCAATAAATCAGCTAGTGACTAGAAATGACAAATTTTTGCCCTGATCTGCACTGACCAGTAATCGGCCAATCAGAGTAAGTATGGCCAATTTTATGAGCCGATCAAGTACTTTAACAGTTAATATTACTTTTTGCCCCAAGTTAGTGGTGAGCAAGATTGCAATATTTTATTGTACCTGGCTGCAATTGTATATAAGGATGTCACTGTCGATTACATTAATGATCAAACAATCTGCCAATTAATCTAATGATTCATTGAGTAATCATTTATGTATAATATAATATCCACAAAGGACATTTCAGAAGAATCGTTAGAACCGCAGTACAGCACTACATTTACTTTTATTTAGCAGGCAATGTTGTCCATAGGAACATACGAGGAATTCAAATAATACATCACAAGCATATGTGATGTTGTGTATGTGAAGTGTACTGTGGCAGGAAAAAGCCTGGGAAACACTTGAATAGGCATAAGTGTGCATAAGCAGAGCCCAGTTACAAGTGCACCACTTAGTACTATTATTATAACAACAGAACAATCCGGCAAGTGCCTATCACATGATGCCTGCATGTTCCGAGGAAAAACAGACTGATGGACAGTCTGAAACAAAGCAATGTCAGCCTGCATAACATCTTAGTGCTATCTAAATATCCCACTTCTTTGTCAATCTGTTTCAGTCTATCTAAACGTAGCGGCAATTTCTTGAATTAAAAACAATCTTTTTTAACCGGTTAGCTAACTCGGTCGGAAAAAAAAAAAAAAAAAAAAAAAAATCACACCATCGGACGACCAAAAATACTGTACATGTCTCACACAGTAAACAGCACAGGGTTCCCAGACAGGTCAGCTATGCCATCACATAAATAGTTTGCGGCATGCTGATGTGGAAAAATTGGTTCCAAAAAAGGTTCTACTTTAAGAACATAAGAACAAGAAACTTACAAACGAGAGGAGGCCATTCGGCCCATCAAGCTCGTTTGGAAAGAACTCAACTAACAGCTCAGAGCTGTTAAAATCTTATCTAGCTCTGATTTAAAGGAACTCAAGGTTTTAGCTTGCACTACACTAACAGGAAGACTATTCCATACTGTAACTGCACGCTGTCTAAAGAAGTGCTTCCTCAAATTCAGTTAAAAATGTTCTCCCGCTAATTTCCACCTATGGTTCGTGCATTTGAACTAAAACTGAATTTTTTTTTTTGATTGCGTGGAAATGGTTTGTATTTGCGAAAGCAGACATGGACCAATCTACTGTAGTCAGCAAATTTTGCAAAGATAACATTCATACAACTGGTGGCAACATCACTGATCTTTTTAACCACTGAAGACGTCAGCACCCCAAATGCGGAATGTCTGGCTATGTGCATGTGCAAGAACATAGTCCTCAGCAACAGTGTCTTTCACACATTCTGAAGTAAACAAACAGAAGCCAACATTTCTTTCTGATGCAAATTTCAAAATCTTACAATATTTCGTTCTTTTATTTGTCCATTATTTGCGTGTACTTGTAAAGTGAAACTAAAAAGCACTTTTGCTATAATGAGTCAGTTTTTTTTATATGTACAATATTATACATGCCTTAATAAATGTGTTTATTATTATAATGCTACAAGTAGTGTTTCTTCTAAGAACAGACTTGCTGGTTAAGTGTTTAATCACTTAGGAAGCAAAGTACTTGTAAACAAAAACAATAGGTTATTCTGAGAAATCATAAGGCATTCCTATCATTTTTCACCTGTTGGGGGGAGTTCTACAGCCCCATTAACAGATAATGAAGTCAGTAAATGGTCTGACAAACACAAAAATGATGTAAGTCTTATGGGATCAAAAGTAGACTAGATATCAATCACACTGAACACTTAAAATTAATGTCAGGTGCCACTCTGCTTAATCGTGGAATGTGTGGAAGTATATTGTTCCAGGCTATGTTCAGAATCACTCCCTATTACAGAAACAGCACACCACATTCCCAAAAAACTGATTTGCTAAGTAGTACACTATTAACACACACTATGCACTGTACATTACTACAAAAATATACTACATGTGCCATAATGCAGTGCAAAGGTGACATCTGCTGTCAACTAAGATGGCCCAAGAAGACAGTTTGTATACAAAAGTACAAATACATAGTTTGTCAGCAGTGATCTTTGCAGACTTAAGATAACATTTTAATGATAGATAGATAGATATTTTGCATTTTAAACTACAGATATTTACATTCCCTTTATGTCCTTTACTCTATGTATGTTGTCATTGTATTTTATTATTTGCAAATGTCAACTATCAGATGATGGTAGGATACCAAAATAGAGGATGTTGGAATGTGGTGTCCAAAACCGTCATCTTGTTTCACTTATTCCCTATATGGCGAACTACATAGTTTTTTTTTCCCTTTTCAAATAGGGAATATAAGTGATTGACCGACTGAACCATCTGAACACAATCCAGACACCTGTACAACGTTGGTCATAGTGAAGCTGTTGTTGGAGTTCCCGTTGTTTTGCTATGTGACGTTAGTTTGGCTGAATACCTGCTACACACGGTGAACCTTCAGATGCCATTTTCCTAAACAGCTATTTAAAACTTGACATTTAAATAAGTAATACGCTAATTACAACGAAGCAAAGGGGTGTGAACAAAAGCATTTAACTTCCACAATGTATTCGCTTTAAATTTCATAACTGCTGTCATCAATATCATAAACATTATTATCATTATTAAGTCTTAAGCCTACCTAATCGTCAGGCAAGTGTCAGTTTTGATGAGAGAACTACACCATTTCTCCACCCCAATTACGAGCTCGCCATAGCATGAAATGTTGAACCTCTGTACATGATAATCTGAGCTAAAGTATTTAAAGAGTAATGTAATCCGCATCCTAGTCTCCTTGTTAGCTAAAATATTGATGCATAAACATAATTTAAACCGGAAATTACTTTACTCAACTAAAAATAAAAGAATAAACCCGAAGTTGACTTCTTGAGTAACCAATGTGCAGGAATGACAACATTACTGCCTGAAACGCAATTTAATAAATACAACGTGAAAACTATCTTGCTAGAGTAAAATGCTACTTAATAAAGAACAAAAATACCTGGGCAATACCAGTAATAACAGGTACTGGCGATTTAGTTTGTGCACATTGCTAACTGACGCAATAAATATTTCTGCAAATATTTATGGAACCAAGTCTCAGAAAACTACTTGTTTTGAAGTCCCCTGTTCCTTTCCAACAATAATTACTTAAGCAAATAGTTATTAGCATCTTTAACGAACTATATTGCTATTCAAGATAAGCTAGATAGCTAGCTAGCTACTTGCATTATCAAACGCCAGTAAGCCAGCGAAACGAGTACGGCCTGCATCGAAAATGTATAAAAAGCTACGCATTTACAATTTTATACACCCGGCTCACAATCTCGGCGTAATGCTAAATGACAAAATGTGTCAACGACGTCTAAAGCAATGTGCCTAGATGCCAGTGGCGAAATGCCGAGGTAGCTTTAAAACTAATGCTAACGGCTAGCTGCGGGGAGAAAGGAGGACGGAAGACGCGCCAACGTACCGGACACCAGCCATTCTCCGCCGTTGTTGGAAAACTCTATGGCATTAACGCAGCCAAAATGCCCAAGCATGTCCTTCTTGTATAAGCTGTTACACCCAGCTAGTCTTCGTCTCTGGAATTCCTCCTTCATGAGAGGCTGTCCGGTGATCTTTCTCCGGGACAGGAACCCCACGGAAGAACGCATGCCGCAGCCTTTTATTTCTTTCATCTTCGCGATCCCGAGACGGCGATCTCCACTTCTGGAAACTGCGCGATGTCCGAGACCTTCCCCCAACTTTGTGCAACTATTAAAAACGTTCAGCTTTCCCGTGTCTGATTGTTTGCTGGTGCATTGTGGAATGGGAGAGATTGCCCCCAAGCCCAGCGATGGTGTTTGTTGTAACACTCAGTCTACTTCCTGTTGTGAGCGAAACCTCCTCCTCCTCCTCCTCAGCCACCTACATCACTAACTCAGCTGACACCAACGTTTACGTTACATCCAAGCATCACGCTTAGGCAGGTGAGGAGATCGCGAAGTCCTCGCTGTTTCAGTCAGTTGTCAAGTGTCGTAACTGAAATACCCAGTACCACGTATGTGTTGCTGTACGCTGCCCATTTCAGCCACCAACACGTTATCGACAACCTAGTATTTCAAGCGACATATCACTTTTGTATTAACTTAATATGACTATTCAATATTTAGAATCGTGCATTCCCGATTCTGGTTTTATTCAACCACTTTCTCTCCATCACACACACACACACACACAAAGATTCCACTGACCGCAGATGTGTAGTGTAGTTTTATTATCCCCAATTTAAGGATTACAGTAGTAGTCTTAAAGTTACACAGTATTTCTTAGAGAAATTCTATGTGACGTCCCCTAGAAGAGGAATAAAACGCAAATCGTCTTATCAAGAACATCTATAGAACTAAAATTACTCCAAGGTTTTTATGGCATATCATCACAGGTATAAAATCATGTTTTCTTTTTTGTGACGTTTAAGTGCTTAGTACTTAATTTAGTCTTAGCTTTTGAATTTGTTTGCCTTGCTTTCAGATCAAACACCACAATAAAGCTAAACAATCAATAATGAAACAACTATGGCAAGTTATCTGTGCTTTCAAATTACATGCATTTTCTGTTATATGACAGTTTTATTTATGGAGTTTAATTCTATGGCAGGGAAGGGTAAGGTTCTTTAGGAGTGCAAAGCTGGGTTCAAATCAAGGTTTTTAATGGTTAATACTTAAAATAATTCCCTACTTTTAAATAAACAAAATCCATCTTAATAAAACAAAATTCTCAGTGCAAACATCACATAAACAATCTTATGTATGACAGTAATAAACTAGTGAGCTATTATAGTCTCCCAAATGATTCCACATATTTGGAAATTGAGTATTTAAGCGGACACATCAGTCATGTTCTTTGTGAAGGTTAAGCAGATATGGCTAAAGCCTTACAAATACACCACAAGTTGGTTTTGTGCCTAATAATCCACAATTCTCTCCCCCTTTCAAGCTGGATATCATTGAAAAATGATTGCGAAAGGCTAGAAAATGATCCACCTTCCTTACCCTCCATTTACTGAATCCATACTGAAAGTTTTAAAATACTTTAGGTACACCTTTTATAAAAGTATGCCACATAACTTTCCATGGAAAAGGCATATTGTTATACATGGGCTGAACAATATTCAGATAATATTGTTTGGCAATATAATCCATATGAGGGAAGATATATTTGATCATTTTTGAGCCACGGTGCAAAATGAACAAGCCACACAGTACTAATTCCATTTGTACAAAAACAAATCTCAACACGTTTCCGTGTCATTTCTAGGTCTTCCCTCATGATAGAGATTGAAAAATTTAGGCCATCAGTGTCAAAGCGAATTACAGTAATGAAGATCTATATTTATTTTTTGTTTATCACACAATTTCAGTGAGTACAAATGTCTGTATGTAGATGCTGCTATACAAAAGAAATTTGGCATCCTTTCCCCAAACTGTGAGGAGTTCAAAGGGAATTTTATATTTTGCTACAAAGAAGGAATATGGTGGTTCATCTTACTTCTGGATTATAGCTCCAAATTAATGACAACAAAAAAGGCAATTCGTAAATGGGTATTTTCGAGTTAGGAGTTAAATTATTCATTTGATCTCATTACAGTAATATTTTCCCTCCAAATATATAAACATATATAAACATAAGCAGAGAATAACTTTTAAAAAGCAAGGAGGACACTTGAAATAGAAAGCATTGCTTTCCATTCTTTGTTCTGCCTAAGTATGGTTTTACAAAAGTAAAAACAAAACAGACTTAAAAAGCAGGGATTAAGAGAGAAGGGAGAGTGGTCAGGCAAAAGGAGGTAGGTTTGGGTGAGAGTAAAAGCTGCTGGCACGTGGACGGATATTTTCAGTTCCAGGTTTGAACCACAAAGGTGCTAGTATGGGCCTTTGGAATGTCCAAAAATGCCAATGGGAAAGTGTTTGACATGAGAGGACCATTGTGCAGCCAGCTGGAAAAACTTAACATCATTCCACTCCATGCCGTCAATGAGTACTGCAAAAGAAAGTAGACAATTACTTTGGTGACATGGGCATTTGTACGCACAAGAAGGTATATACATTTTTTGAATTGCCATTCATATATGCTTAGAATATACTTTCCACTTTCTAATATACAGCCTGTCTTTATTACAAGGAACATTCAGTACCTTTGCCTGTTTATACCACTACAAGAGCCTAGTACTGTTTAGAAAAAACTGCTAACTTATCGTGAAGTTATTCCTAGTTAATTATTTGTTTTAAATGTACTGCACAAGTCTTGCACTTTTCAGATTCAGATATATTTAAGCTTGACACAATGGTGTTACTTTTAAAGCTAATATATATATATATATATATATATATATATATATATATATATATATATATATATATATATATATATATATATGCTCTGTAAGAATTTTGAAGACAGTTCATTCAGGGTGACAGAGAGGTCAAATATATATTAAATGGCAATTTTCAGGTTTTTTTATGTATTGTTTTATATAAAAAAAAGTGCATGTTGAGTTGTGGGCAAAGTTGGTTCATGTTCAGAAAATATATAAATATATCAAGTTTTAATATACTAACAGTCAGATAAAAATAAATTCATATTGTCATTGGAATTAGTGTCTTGGTGGGTGATAATAAGTGATGGCAGCAAAACTAAAGAAGTAAAACTCTTATATTGGTGGAACCAATTAATTGATGTATTATTTCTAGTTTTAGTAGAATCAGAAGTATTATGTTATCTTTAAAAGCTATTTAAAGTACATTTTATACAATACTTGAACACATTTTAAATTGGTTGTAATCAGTTTCTCACCCCTAAGCATTGTCTGTTGATTCTTGGCAGTGCAGATCAAGCGGCTGATTCCCTCAATCACCTGACTTTTTGACTCTACTTCCTTGTCCTTAGTCTTCTTTGGCAAAAACATGACTGGACATGAAAGAAACGGGGCAAATTATGATTAACATTACATACAGAGAACCACAAAGGCCAACCTACAGAAAGCTGTAGAAAGAAAGTTAGAAACTGTATACAAGTATTTAAAATTTTACAAAAAATTCTACAACCACAACAACATTAACAATAATAAGTGGTACTTGTCAAACAACTGCTTTTCATGTACTGGCATAAATATTTGTGTAAAAAAAAATAAAAAATCAGTAAATATTTGGGGGGAAAAAAATCAGGATTACTGAGGTACTATTCAAGAAAATTGAGACCTGTCTCAAAATCTTTAATGCCTGACTCTTACTCTTCCATCAAGTTCATCCCATATAATTTCTTTAAAATTAAGATCAGACTTTAGAAGAAGTAGGTCAGGGGGGGTTTGCACAAAGCAGCGTTTCCCAGTTAGCTGGGTAATTTAAGCCAATAGCAAGACAGGAATGTGAAATTCCTACTGGACAATCCTTACATTTGGCTTATCTGGCTAATGAAGAAACCCTGCCTTGTGCAATTACCCCAGGTCATTAGTTTGAGTTGTCCTTCACCTTCCTTTTTACCAGACAGTTCTTGCTATTTTGAGGTGTGTTTTGGGTTTCTATTCAGGTTCATGCTCATTTCATATTATGTACAAAGTAAGATATCTTTAGTCTGGTCATTTGTGCTTCAATTGAAAGTTCAGGCTTGATTTTGTCAAACATCCATTTGTTTGTTTTCCTTGTGGTCTTTAAGTCTTTACCAGTGTCAAAGTTCAAACATGTCGATACTCATCCTGTCCTGCTACTTCAGTATCCAGCTTTCACATTCATAAACGCTACAGAACATGCCATTTTCTGAACAATTCTCATCTTTTTTTTGAACTGTCAGGACTTTGAAGATATTTCTCTAGGCCCTTTATCACAGCCAGTCTGCAATGTATTTCTTGACCGCTGGATCATTTGTTGTTGATGATTGTTCTAAGGAGGCAAAAGCTGTTTTCACCATCAGCACTAAGATTAGCTGCTGATCCTGTTGTCACAACCTTTGTTTTCAATGAAAGCTGTAATCCCGTCATCCTATCTTTCTACTTTTTCCTTAAAAATTCACATATGCATTTTTCACTACAAGTTGAAATCTTGAATCCACAGTCATCTTCCATTTTCTCTCATTATACAGCGTGCCCCATAGTTTTTGGCACAAAAACATTTTTCCTTGATTTGCCCCAATAATCCACAGTTTTAAATTTCTAATCAAACAATGTCACATGTGATTAAAGTACACACTCCAGACTTTATATTCAGGGTATGTGCATACATTGCAGGGTCACCATATAGAAACTACAGAACTTTTTCTACACAGTCCCCCGTTTCAGGGCACCATAATGTTTGGGACGTAGCAATAGTATGTTGGAGGAAACCCCACAATGACACGGGTAGAGCATGCAAACTTCACACACATGGAACCCTGGCAGATACTCGGACCCAGGGTCCAGAAGTGAGGCGACAGTGCTGACCACTGCACCACTGTGCTGCCCCCAATAATTATAATTATAACAATAATAATAAAAGTTATTTCCTGCACACTGTAAGACCACTGCTTCCCCCCTGTGCTGCATACCTTTGTTTTTCTTCTCCTTCATAACCACGGTCATGGACATGCTGGGTAGAGGGCCATACTCCGCCCCCCCCAGAGGTAACCGGCTGACCTGCAGGGAGCGGAAGGTGCACTTCAACGTGTTCTTGGATGAAAAATCCTTCTTTTCCACATCCCTCTTTCTGTCCAAGGGAGCCACCCAGTAATCCACTTGAAGACCCATTAGCTCCCCCTGTCCTCCTCCTGAGGAACTGCAACCACACAGGAAGGAAAAGGTCAAAATATAGTATGATTTTAAAACATGCTTCTTGGAGAATGCAATGGTTTTACTGAATTACTACTACTTTACCCTGAAGCTATACAATAACCAAATATGCGGCCTTCAAATATGGGCGTATATTTAATTGATTATATTTAAAATATTTGCAAATGCAATCCAAAATCAAAACAAAGAAGGGCTGAATATTTGATCAATTAATGCTCACTTTGAGTTAATCCAGACCTTAAAAAATTAAACAAAATACACATACATTGAAATAATATTTTTTTTGACCAAGTCATATCCGTTTTCTCCTGATAAGGCTGAGGAATCGATAGAAGGACTTAAAGCTGGTTCATGATTTTACTCTGAAATAGATAAGTTTAGGAGAGTGATTGTAATGAGACTGTACCTGTATGAACAGAAGCTAGTATTAACTGAAGGGGATGAAGGGGGGGTGGGGGACGCTTCTTTTAGGGCGGGGGACACCTGTGGAGGTGTGGAGGAGAGGAGGCCCGATCCAAACGGCGCTGCATCATCAGAGTCTCCTGGGCAGCAAGGCAAGGAAAAAAATCTGAAAAGTCTCAGTACAACAGCACACCCCAATCATCTCTCTGATGTCTCACACAGTCCACACTATCCCGGCCTGGTCCCTTCTGTAACTCACCTGATGTTGCAGAGGATTGCTCTAAAATGCCCACTTTTACCACCTAATGAGGAGTCAGAATACAGGGTTACTGTTTTACTTCATTTATCAATGTTTCCCCCCCCTATGCTAAGAACAGAAAGAAAAGGTCGTCTTTTAAACCATGCACTGATCAGCCAAAACATTAATACCACCTGCCTAATGCTGCCAAAGCAGCTCTGACCCGTGTCCCGTGATATATGGCACCAAGATGTCACCAGTAGATCCTTTAAGTCCCATAGCTTGTGAGGTGGAGCCTCCAGGGATCGGACTTGTTTGTCCAGCACATCCCACAGTGGCTCGATAGGATTTATATCTGTGGAATTTGGAGGCCAAGTAAACGCCTTTGAACTCCCTTTCACGTTCCTCAAACTATTCCTCAATAATTTCTGAAGTGAGGCAAGGTGCATTATCCTGCTGAAAGAGGCCACTGCCATCAGGGGATACTGTTGCCATGAAGCAGTATTCTTGCTCTGTAACAATGTTTAGGTAGGTGGTACGTGTCAAAGTAACATGAATGCCAGGACCCAAGGCTTCCCAGCAGAACATCACCCAGCGCATCACTCTGCCTCCTCTGGCTTGTCTTCTTCTTATACTGCATCCTGTTGCCATCTCTTCCCAGGCAAATGACACATGTTCCTGACCGCCCACATGACATAACAGAAAATGTGATTCAGGCAATCTTCTTTCATTGCTCCATGGTCCAGTTCTGACGCTCACATGCCCATTGTGGGCACCTTTGGTGGTGGACAGAGGTCAGCATGGGACCTCTGGCTAGTCTCCAGTTATGCAGCTCCTTATGCCACAAGCTGCGATGCACTGTGTGTTCTGACACCTCTATATCATAGCCAGCATGAACTTTTTCAACAATTTGAGACTCTAGTCTTTGCTCCCCTCTTGCTTGAATGAGCCCTATGTGCCCATGACCCCATTGCAAGTTCACCGGCTGGCCTTCCTTGGACCACTTTTGGTAGGTTCTGACCACTGCACACCAGGAACACCCCACAAGACCTGCCGTTCTGGAGATGCCTCTAGCCATCACAATTGGGCCCTTGTCAAAGTTGCTCAGATCCTTAGACTTGCCCATTTCTCCTCCTTCCAACACATCAAACTTCGAGAACTGACTGTTTACTGTTCACTTGACATTTGATATTGTAGCGAGACAATAAATGTTATTAATTTCACCTGTCAGTGGTATTAATGTTATGACTGATCGGTGCTTATGTTGTATTAAAACCTGCCCAGTTATCTAATTCATATATGATTGATAATACTTACTCCAATAAAAGGAATGAATTTCTGGCAGGAATCTTCATCTGGGCTGAGGAGAAAATACCAAAAAATTAAATGAAAACAAATATGAGAAAGATACAGAATATCTAAGGATACATTCTTTTCTTCTTCCTACCTTTAAACTACTTTCTCATGGTCAAATTCTCCCACAGACATCAGCCAGAGTGATATCGACCCAATTGGTCTGAATGACATGATTTTTGATTATTCTGCCTGTAACTTGAGCAGATACTCTTAGTGCTGTGATAGATGTTTAAATTCTGTCCTTCATTATTAACGTTCCTGAACAAAAGTCTTTTATTTTTCAGAAACAATTGGCTTCTTGCCATTCCACCATCTTGCTGACATACTGATTGCAGAAAACTCTAAAATACTTGCTATGTCAAAAACTATTAAGTAAAAAGAAAAACAGGTTTCTACTTCTGTAACAATCTACCTAGACCAGATCTGGGCTACTTAAAAAAAAAACCAATCATTCAGAACCGAAATGCACTCAAATCAATTTTGAAAGGGCCCCTATGTGTTTTCTTTCCATATTATGCATGTTTTGATTGTGAAGGCATGGAGGATGGATTTGGTTGTGCTGTGAGGGTTAACAGCACTCTGTCTGGCCTTCTTAAATCCAACAGACAACATAAAAACAAACTCAGAGAACCCTTCTGCTGTCATTTTAAGGCAGATTTCAAATAGGAGTTTTACTCACTAATTTCTGTTGTATGATCGTTACATTGTATCTGGTGCTGATGGAAGCCCTATCATGACCCAGAGGTCAAGCATCCAGAAGTCACCATCAGTGGCAGGGACATGACATATTTTGTATGAGGGTGAGCATTTGGATTGAATGTAAGCTTTGGCTGGATTTACAGGAATCATTAATTCCAAAATATTCCCCAGATAGATACTTTATTAATCGTGTCCACTTTTAATAACCAAGTATGCATTACATTTACATTAATTCAATGGTTAAAATACAACCCAGGGATTTTGGTCAAATTTCGTCCCTATGGGTCCAATTGTCAGAAAACAAAAATAAACCCTTATACATTTTGTCAGGAGCAGGGCTTTTTAAACTACTGCCTAAGAAGCAGAGAGCAGGACATGCAAGGATTGGGCTTCAAGCCACCCCCGAAGTCATTCCCATTTTAACAGGCTACGGACGAAATGCACCGCCTCCAGAAGTCATTTCACGGCACCAGCTGGGAAAATAAAAGCTGCATCGATCTTCAGAGCAGCAATCAGCAAGGCAGCTCAGGCACTTTCACAAGTGTCACGTAAAGCCAGGCTTCAAAAAGCTGTTTGGGGAACTATAACGATAAGGTTCATTCCATATAAACTCGCTCAGACCTTCCAGCTCATGTCATGCATTTTCTTTAAGAAAGAAAAACTTCCCTTAAATTCATGGGACCTTACAAAATCATATAGCTCTAGGCAAAATACTTTATTAGTAGTATTTAGTATTAGTTTACATAACTTTGGCCCTCCTGGCTTCTTCGTATGTGTATTCTAAGCCTCCCCAATTGCTTATTTTTCACTGGATTGGGTTGAAATTTGTACTGAACATTTGTACTAAGGATAATTTGCAATATGAATTCATAAGCAATCGATTTAGAATACACCTAGAAAAAAATTCAAAAACGCTCAGAGGGCCAAACTTAAAAAATGTATAACTAAAAATGTATTTGGAGTAGAGCTATTGGATTTTGTAAGGTCCCATAAATGTACCTATGTACTTAATGTTAGTTCACATGATTTTTTTTTCCCCCAAGAAAATCCTTGACATGAACTGGGACATCTAGGTGAGTTGATATGGAATGACCCATAATAATGATGTCTGATGTGTGTTCAAGAGTTAACTGTATAAAAACGAGACAAATAATACATATTCATATACCAATCTGATGCACACAAAGTATGCACAAAACATACTATATACTGTCATTTTATATATATATATATATATAAATAAAATGAATATAGGTCAGTGCATGTTGGTATACATGGTATATATCTCCATTACTAAAGCTACATACCTCTCACTTCTAATCATCTAATTCAAAATTTAGCAAATAATATTTCTAATACTTAAATGCTGTGTAACAAGACAGGCAAAGGCAGTTTTAAGCAGAGTGGGGAAAGAAGACAAATGATTATAAAAGAGAATAAAAAGGCAGCCTTCACCACAATCTCTCATTTGATTAATACATAGTTATGTACAGAAGTTACATCACAAGACGTTATTAATGTCATTTTGAGAATTACATTCAAATCAAGTCAATTAGTCAAGTCAAACAGGACAATTTCAAATACGATGGCCTAACCTCAATCCTAGATTTCAGATTTAAAACGATTAAGGTGGCCTACTAGATGTGCAAGATGTTAAACTTGAGTACAAATGGGTAAAGACTGCCAAAAATGAGAGATGAATCAAAAAATTCACCAAGAAGAAAACTAGACTCAAGCAGACCACAATACCTTAATGCTAACTCAAAATGAAAGCTCTTTTTCCTTCAAAGAAAGCAAAAAAGAAACAAATGTAAAATAAATTAAGAAACAGTTATTACTCACACATAAGATGGACATATAGCGAGGTCAGTGTCTCATTGATGGTTAAAACTGTAGCTTTATTAGCAAATGCATTAATCCTGGAGCCTGTATGCCTAATCCTAGGGCTATAATTGTAGACAGAGCAGCACATAAATGGTTCTCTTTCGTACCATGGAATCTTTCACATGATACATTATGTACAACAAAACAGATGAACAGATGAATGTATCCATTTATATGTCATTTAGATGTATAAATAAACATTTAGTTTTGTAAGTATACTTACAAAGCAATACTGATAGAAATAAAATCTGCCATTGAAAAATTTTATTTATCATATAATTCAGAATACTGGACTTATTTTTCAATGAAAGTTATAAAATAAATTTCTTGAGTCCAAATTCTGATTGATCTAAATGGATGCTACTATTGTAAATATTTCACAAAAAAATGTATGAGTTAAGCATGTCTATCATCTGCAGTTCAAGGAACCAAAATTATATTAAAAGGAACCCACCTTTTCTGCTTGTAAGTAAGCATAGCCTCAGCGATTGGCAGTTGATGTGCCCCATTGGCACCCACCATGTACTGTGTAACCCTTGATACCACATCTGGGCATTCCTGAACTATTAATAAGAGGGAAACACATAAACACACTCCCATCTATTCAACATTCAACACACAATAGTAAATTTACCACATGTTTTGGTAGAAGTCACCTGCCAAAATCATAGGTATTGCTTACTTCCAATATTTTAAAACATTGCTCTATCTGAAATACCCTTAAATGCAGATTATTCGAGAGTGGAGGAAGTGCTGAGAGTGACACTTACCCCCTACTGGAGCCTCGGGTTTGTGGAAAAGGTCTTTCCAGGCTGCATCTTGGAATAGACTATTATAGCGGTAATCAATAGTGCCCAGGTATTTAGAGACAGCGTGGGAGCCTGAGTGTGCACAGAAAATGGTGAGTGTACTCGTGACTGTAAATCAACTAACAGACGCACTGCTTAAGAACCATGGAAACTCACCAAATGGGATAATTAGGAAGCGCATGTAACCCAGCCAGTCAGGGGTCTTATGGGACAGGTGGTCAACAAAGAGACGCAGGACTACACTGAGGTACTGTTGTGCTCCCGCAACTGCAATTTTCATGGGGACGGGTGTCTGGGAGTTACAGTTGCAGCTGGAAAAGAAAAAAACGCAAAAAGAGAGACACCCTCAGTTTGTGGGTTCCGACAAAGTGCTACATGGTCATATTGTGATCCCACAATAGCCCAATAAGTAGTATACCGCATGATAAATAAATCTAAACACCCTATTTTAAGTCTATAAGCACTGTATCGTTTTTTTCCACACAGAAATACAGGGGTAGCCTTTTTGTCAGTTATAGACTGGGAACCACTACAGTGTGGAGGTAAGAAAGGGGGAAGGCAGAAAGATATGAAAATGTAAATAAAAACAAAGAATTCAAAACTTTATTTACAATCTCTGGATGCGTGAGACAATGGTATTAAAAGCAGCCTGGATGTCAGCAGCAGTACAGGTGCAGACAACTGGAAGGTGATGGTTCTGGAGCACATCTGACAGGTACTGAAAATGGAGCAGAAATAAAATGGAATAGAGAGGAATAACTTAACTAGCCTAAAGAGAAAAATAATCCATGAAAAAAATGAGTAATGCTAAGTTTCTTACCTGTCCCTGCCAATCTGACGTATTGACGAGTATTATACTGTCTGGTAAGTGGTCATCCAACACCAAAATGTGGTTGAGCTGATCGTATACAGTTTTTCTGGGTATCTAATGGGGAGGAACCCATGCACACAAGAAGCAGGGGCAAAACATTCATTTATTTCATTAAAAAAACAATAAAACCACAGGCAACAACAGACCAATTTGCAATTTAATGCTACAGTTGTTTTTCTTGATACCTGTAGGTGGCAGCGAGTATCCAGGGAACGTTCATTGTCTAGACTGTTAGCCCTTTCGTTCTGCGGCCTGTTCGGCTGTCGCTCTTTGAGAGAAGTACTTCTACCTCTCCGTCCAGTCACCTTTGGCTCCTGTCTAAAATTGAGAAGACATTTCTGACAAAGCAGGGTGCTTTTTTTATACTGGGAGGAGACAGCAAACTGACATGATCCAATGATTGGTGGAGATGAAGAATAAACAATGGATCAAGAGGCACTGGGAAGACAGTCAGGGGAACAAGGACTTACTTGCTGGAAGGGATAATGAGTGACTCTGTTTTGGTCATCCTGCCACTAGGGGGTAGCCTTTCTAAGGTGCCCATGCTGTCCAAATCTATATCAGTGCTGGGAGACAGAGTCTCTGGGTGCTCCTGCTGGTTTAGTACAGACTATAAAGTCACAGAAAAGAAAAATAATAATATGGAAACTGGCAGTTTCAAAGCTCTAAACTTCTAAGTATTTTTCGCAATAGAGAAAAAATATATCAGGGAATGCATACAAAGGAGATGTTATCTGAACTGTTGTCCATCTGGATTTTGGCCCTACTGATTCCTGCCTTGTCGGGATCCATCTGAAAGAAGAGCGGAAGAGATCAGCCCCAGAGAAAACGGTTTGATGAAATGTGATGACATCTGCAGAACAATAATGTATTGACGTTTTTTTCCCATGTTAAATGAATGATAACTGGACACTGGATTTGTTATCAGCAAATTTGTATTTGTACGAGACAAAACAACATCAATGATCGAATGATAGAACTCACTGGACTGGGGGGCTCATGCTGGCTATTGCTATGGATGCTGCCAATTTCTGTCTGGGAACTGGAGAGAGACAGTCCCTCGAAGTACGGCCTGAAACATAAATAAACTGTAGGAACCTAATATGTTCAGTCTGTTTATATACTACCCTCATGTCAACACATAACAAAATCACATGGGTCTGTCAGAGTACATGGACCAATATTCGCAGATGTTCTAATGCTGCCACATAGTGCTGCTTTTGTGCTTGTTGTCATTTTTTTTTTTCAGTTGCACATCAGCATTTGTACCGACCAGCTGTCACTCTCTCCTCCGTACAGCTGGACACCCTGTACTCGGGCCAAACGCCGAATGAGTTCATGCTATGGACATAGCAGACAATGCAAAGATATTGCTCAGTCGAGGCCTGAAGACTAGCCTGCTGTTGGCTAAAGAAAGAGCTGATCAAACACTGGGGTAATATTGCATAGAAGACATAATACAAGATGGCACTAGACTAAAACACACACTATATTCACACCTGTTTATTGTTTACATGCCCAGGAGGGTTTGGAGAGCCACTTGATTTGGCCCCCCGAAGTTTTTCCCCTACAAAACACAGTTTTGTTTTCTCCATTGTCTTCTGGTTCCTATTCACTATCCATTTAGACTGTTATTACCCTAATCTGTCGTGTGTTAGTACGTGACACGATTGTTTGCCAAAAGTGCATTGGGTCAACCAACATTTGGAAAGGTGCTACATAAAAATTAATTTAACTGAAATTTGCATTCATATACTGCAGCTATTATAGCATTTTCACAGCACTAATATTTTGTAGAACAGATATATTCTACCCGTGTTTATTGAAGTCTCTTTTTAAAATAAAAATACTGTAACAGATTTCCAGAAGCAGATCATCAGATTGCATTGTTGCATTCACATTGTACTCCAAGTTTCCTTTGCAACAGAGATCTTTTACAGTACAGAAATGTTGACAAATTTAGTAACATAACCCACCTAATTTCACAAAGGTGGCCCCACAGACCTTCATATGGGTAAGGAAAGGTTAACTTTATTACTTAGTATTTTTGTATCACAGCTACAAAAAATGTCTGTCAGAAAACAAGTAGAAAAACAACAGATTTTATACACAAATCATTTATCTATGTTATGAGTCATCTATCTACATTATGAGCCAGCAAGAGGAAAACATCCAAGGGACAGGTTCACGTAATTGCTCATTATTATGGCTAATAATCAGCAGTCACATAGCAACAGTCATTTCAGTTGATCCTGACAACACAAATTAAACTTCCAAGAATAAATGGATTGCTGTGTGGACTCAAAACATGGTCTTAATTTTCCACTCTCACCCTCTTCTGGTTGCCCAATTCTTATATTAACCAGATCATTCCCACAGATGTAAACATGTGAGGGGGAAAAAATGCTGAACATATAAAGACACTACATAACCACAACTTCAAAACACTCCTTCAGATAGCAAAACTAAAGAATATTCTCTGTCTCCAGATGTTTCTTGGAGGTGCACACAAGGAGCCATTTGTCTTTTAGCTCTACTATTACTATACTGTTTCGGTGTCACCCTGACATGAGCGTCCTTCCTGAAAAGGCTCAGATCTGCCTCTGGGTCCCGACCACCATAGAAAAGGGCCTTCAAAGCATTTTCCAACCACCCTGGATAGGAGTTTTCAAGTATTTGAAGTCAGTTTAGGATTGAACCACCCTAGAAAGGACATCAATACAATCAAAGTCCTCTCTGGGAAAATTCTAAACTGTTAAGAACACTGACAAATGTAAATTCATGATCTTTGGCTTATTTTTGGTCTGTATTTCTATGTTTTGTTATTGAATTTCAGTATGTATCTGCCCTTAATCATAACTTTCTCTACAAGGAAGTGATTAGGGGTCAAAGCCACCAGGGTGCTTTGCCAAATAAAATCTAGTGGTGGGTGAGTGTCAGAATGGGGGTGGCCTGGAAGATCCAGGGCAGTGTTCATTGTTCCTCAGGGACCCCCCCACATGGTCCACATTTTTCCTCGATGGAAAATGTGGACTGTCTAGGGATCCCTGAGATCCGGATTGAGAAACACTGATCCAGGGGGGCAGAAGAGAATCAGAACACAGCTTCCTCAACTCACCCATAGCTATCCGTAGTATAGCTAGCATAAGTGACAGAGCTATAGAATGAGAACTATTGCGAACAATAAAATGAGAGTGAATGTGAGCCTTTAAAAAGACCAGAAACTTCATTTTAGTCCTTACATTCCAGTTCTTGTATTACCGCAGTCTCTTTGTCCCTTCATTCTGGTCGGAAATTCGTTAAATCCCAAGAATTCTAAAGCTGTTTCAGTTCCATCCTCCAACCCACACAGCACAGTAATCTGCTCATCGCCCCAAAGAAAGCAAGTCTTCCAAATTTACGGGGCATTATTTGCAAAACTTACAATTAACTTTCAAAGATTTTAAATGAATTAAATCAAGCCTGCTAATTAGTAGACAAAATGTGGAAACTAGGTACTTGTATGTTCCATTGTCCTACTGCTGAATAGAAGAATGATTTAAGAATAACCAAAATCCATCAGTTATCCTCTAATCCCAAGCCTGTATACACAATTTGTAACACTCACAGTTCAACGTGCTGCTCTTTTCTTGCATAAACGTACGAGAACGCATGACTTGTTATAATGCAGATGGGTGTGGGATTTTCTAAACAGGAAGAGCAGTGCTTCATGGCCTTTCACACATAAAACACCATTCAGGTACATTTATCACAACTCACATCACGTTTAGAAATCTATGATGTGTTTACATACACAGATTCACCATTTTAAGGCAGGCAACTATAGAATCTGGGCATTGAAAATCAGACACAATCTTTTACTATATATTTAATATTGGAGAACCATTAATGGACACAAATGATTTAATACATAAAATACCACTGACATTCTGTAGCATTAGATTGTTTTCAGTGGGCACAACTGTATGCTTTGCCTTAAAATTGTTCTGACCCAGATTTTAGACCAATCGAAAACATTGCCATCCGTGATCCACCCTTTCTTCTGGCCTCTCAGAATCACCAATTCCTCCCCCACAGATCTTGCTGTCATCTAGATATAGGCTTATTGATCCCATGCGGGAAATTCTGGATGACACAGAAGTTTTGCATGCCCTGACTAAACAAAACCCAGAGGGTAATGGGCAGCATTAGGTGCTCTTTCTGCTAGACCACCAGGCATCTGTGGGCACCACTGCATCTGTCGTTCCTCTCCTCCAAGCAACGCGCATAAAGTCAGTACTTGAGGCAAATAAAAACTATGGACCCAGTACCACAGAGCGACTGTCATCATTAGTCAACAGAGTCTAGGTGACCACCATTCTGCCCAGAAATTTTATTATATCAAGATCTATGCACTTTAATATTTCCTGTAAAATGTAAAGTGCTTTGAGATAACTAGGTTGGAAAGGGTGCTTTATAAAAATTAATTACAGAATTGAACTGTAGGTTTGCCAGCTTTCAATCAAGTCAGACAAACCTCTTACTGCAACATTTTGAGTGCAACATTTTGATGTTACACGATGTCCCAACTACTCGTCTGGTCCCAAGAAGGGAGAAGAACGTAACTCACTTGAGTTTGGGCTTTGGAGTGCTTAGTACACTGTCATCGTCATCCAGTTCCGGACAGCTGTCACTGGGATTTTCAAACTCCAGACTCTCCAGGTCTATGTCCTCTTCGACCTCTGGAGGGGGGTCAACTGCCTCCTGTTCAGAGTCGAGCACCTTCAGAAGGATAAAAATAAAGCTGCAGTGAAAATGGAAATGCATTGTATTTAAAACCACGAAATGTCGATATAGCTAAAGAAACAAAGTAAATAAAAATACAAACCTCATCTGAAACTCTGAATCTCTTCAGAAGAGCTACAACCCGCTGCTTAAAGTTTTGCTGCTAAAGAAAGAAAAACTGAAATCACCTTTTTTCTCAATGTATGGAAATATTCATGCTCACTTTCCTTTTTGTTCTTATAGCGTTACATTTTATACAGCCAACAACTGTAGAGCTGGACACAAAGAGTATATTGTATATTTATATACTGTATATAATAATTAATAAAAAATATATGTATATAATAAAAACGTGAGAGAAAAACAGGGAATCAATGGAAAGTAAAAATTTAAATGTGTTGAACAATTTACGTTTGTTTCTCTGATTTCATATGTTTATATGTAATAAATTCTATCATATAACCACAATATCATGCATTGAAAACACCCAGAAAATGGGTATGCTAAAAAGATTTCTCTTGTTGAAAGCGTTATTTAATTGTATCTGTCATTATATTTGACAATCTAGGAACTCATATTTTATAAATTATCTTTTTTTTTTCCCCCGATGCAATGTATTTACTTGTTTTTTTTTTTAAAGAAAGTATTTCAATTTACTTAAAAGAATAAATATTTCATTTTACCCTTATACTGATGATGCATTTTTGATCACCGAAAAAAAGATTAAGGTTTTCACTGGTTTTATGAATTAGACTGGTAGACTTTGTTGACCTTTAGACCCATAAACAAATTCTGGCCGGAAAGGGACCTAAAAATCAAATTCAGAGAATCTAGTTAATTTTGATCTGAAGAATAGTATCTTTTCAACAGCATTTTCAAGTTCCATAAAGATACTGTATAACCTGTCAATATCAGTCAGCATAATCTTCATTTAAAGAACCTTAAAGTACTTACCTTGTTAACCTTTGCTGACCTGTAAGTTTCTTGTTCAGTTCATTTTTTACATTAAGAACTCTTTGGTAAAGACTTTCTTCACAAGCATCAGCATCCAGACTCATAATTGATAACTCAATTTTAAAACTCCAACATTAGTAAGGATAGGTTTTCAGATGCGTCTTTAGAAAATTAAATATCATCCATGACTCATGATAGAAATATGATGATTCTTACTAACACACTAAACGTTTGATGTTCCATGCATTGCACAGCAGTATTAAGCTTTAATCCAAATTTATGAGTAAAATCATTACTGATAAAACTCCCTGATTTCTTTTGATAGTGGGACAAAAATATATTAAGAATAAAGAAATAATAAATTAATCTAAAAAAAAGTTAATCTAGAAATTTTAACCTCAATACACCAGAACATCCTGCCAGAGCATGGTTATGTCCTACTTTAAAATACGGACAGGAATCATAAATAAATGCGAGCGATGCGCTTCAAACGAGGCCTACCCTTGTGATAGACGCAGTTCTTACTATGGACCTCCTCTGTTTCTTAGGTTTTCTTACATCATACTCATCATCCTCCAAATCCTGAAGACAGAAAATAAAAACTGAAATCGAAACGAAATCAAAATTTCTGCATTTTAAAATAAATGGTAGTTAATCCCGTTTATACTCATGCTACTATTCAGCTTTAGCTGGTTTAACAAACAAATTTACAAATAAACAACTTCTCAACATTTAAGATTTTCCCTAAATTATAAAACGTAGCCAGATCGGCTTATTCTGGTTATTCTAATATTATCACCTGTTCCTGGAATTGCAGGACATCCTGGGTGGGACGCACACACACTCACACACACATACACACAGAAACACACACCCACATACAAGCAATCACATAAACAAAAACACACACAAACAAACAAACACACACATAGACAAATACAAACACGCACACACACGTACTATAAGCAATCTATAGAAACAAATTCACCTGACCTCATGTTTTTGGACTGTGGGCGGAAACTGGAGTACCCACAGGAAAGTAACAGTAACATAAACACAAAATACTATTCACATCATCAGTTTATTTTTTAAGTAATGTCTGGGTCTCACTTGTCCATGTACTGCATCATCACTGGCTTCCTGTTCAGAAGAGAAGCTCTCATATTCCTCTTCTGAGTAGTTATCTGAAGTTAAAATATAAATGCATAAAGACTCTAAATCAAAGTCAATATCATTCACCTCAACAGATTCATAAAGCTTGCGAAGATCCGTCAGACAAGACAGAGAATATGTGAACAAAACAGCAGTGCTTGATATTGGTGCAGCAGATGTACCTGTGCATTTTATCTTCAGTCCTTCATGTAGTGCCACCTCCTCATGATCAATTGGCTGGCTGGACAAAGAGAAAATCCAGATCTCAGCCACCTTCCCCAGCATGTCCTTCTGGTTGCTGCATAAAGACAGAACCTGACTTCCTTCGGTGGGATACTGCATCACCTGGATGGAAGCACAACGTAGAGAAGGTCACTGCACAGCAAGAAGCACGGCACTGCACAGCAAGAAGCACAGCACTGCACAGCAAGAAGCACAGCACTGCACAGCAACGGTTTTGCCTGGAGCTTTATACCATTGTTGTTACACAGGCCAATATTACCACCTCCAGAGAAGTCAGTCCAGGAAAGTTTTAAAATTCTCTTTTCTCAAATCAAAAAGCTCAGCAATTAATTGACCAGCAGGTGTCAAGTAACAGAAACTTACAAGCAAAGATTTTTCACAGAATATTAATTAATATTGTTTAATACCAATATTAATATTAAAATGTATATTAACATTAAAACCATGTAAACAAAATAATCCACCATGATTTCCAGAAGAACCAGGTCAAGAACATGCTAGAAACAGTATTATATGTCACAACAAAATGTTTATTTTTTAAACTCCCAAATATCATATTACGTTACTGACAAATAGGTTTATTTATTTGAGCATCAGAGAGTACAGGGACAATATATTACATTCCCATAATATTTTGGTGGCTTTATTTAACCTTATTTTTTATTATTATTTGAATCAACAGCACCCTGTGATCTTCCTGATTAGATGTGTTTATTCTCAGTGTGGTCCACGGTCCAGATATCTATATAAATATCAGTTTTTACATTCTGCCCGTTGCCAGTTAGATCTGCAAGGGGTTGTGCAATGTCCTGGATTTTTCTCTTCTCCATGCAAATTAGGCAGTTTTTTTCCCCTAACATCAAACATCAGGAAAACATTATTCCAAATTTTAGTTTGCTCTTATTTTCATAGACATATTCCGCTGTGAAACCATTAGGTGATATGTTCAATGGTCCAACAACGTGTTATTTTAGCTAAGCAGGGGAGGATGAACAATCTAAATCTAGCATTTCAGAAATGCCCAGTCATTATGTTCAACACAGAATATGGAAAGTGCACTTAAAAGGAATTTAATGAGCTCAAACTAAGCTATAATAAAATCTGACAAGATGTTGGCAGTGTAAATGTAATTGATAAGAAAATCTGTGACAAAACTTCCTAATTATAGTTAAAACTTTGGTTACAAAATAACAATATCGTTTAAATATACCAGAAGGTATCATCAGTACATCTATTTTAACAATATTTTCTGGTTTCCATATAGTTCTGTCATCTTCCTCATATCGTGAAAGCAATTCAGTCTGAAAATGGAGAAAGTTAAATTTACTCATACAAAATAAGATTTAAAAAAAAAACATACCTCAGCCATGTCAATTGATCCAACAGCCAAGGTCTTATAACCCAGAATGGTGCGGTTCTTGTACCTCTTCCGTCTCTGTAACATGATCTGCAGTTTGTTTCCCTCCCGCTTCAAGAAGTGAGGGTACTGGATAACCGAGAATAAGCGAATAAGCAAGAGACAGAAGGGAAAGTTTGCTTAATTGTGGTAAAAAAAGAAAGCAGGCAGAGCTGTAAAGTCAGTCTTAGTATCTATTAAATGCCATTCAGACTCCTTGTCCTTACTTGCAATGAGAAGGTCAGAGCCAAGTCTGTCTCCACCACTCCACTGGGGGGCAACACAATCTCATGAGACCTCAAGATCCTTTTCGAACCCTGTGGAAGTGTCAACCATCTGCAGTGACAACACTCACCAGAAATAAACTAGGTTATCACGATACGAAAAAACAAGAGAGATTTAGATAAATTTCTATATTGTGTTATGACACTGATTCCAGAATCCACAGTCCATTGGCAGCCCAGCCAATTAAAAGGTTGGCTGCACTTCTCCTTCAGCACCCTGGAAGGGGGCATCTGTCCCAGTTTCAACCCCCACATTGTAGATTGACAGTCAAGTATCCTGAAGCAACCCATGGTCTTAATTACATGCACCTGGACAGCACTAATTTCCCCAGATAGTGGCTTCAAGAAGGAGAAAAGGGCAGTTTGAGGAGAACAAACTAACTACTAGTTAAACCTTGGCGTAGGAATGCAAAGTTCCAAACAGGCCACCTAACAACGAAACGATGAACGAGTACAGGTGTCGGTGATTTATTCAATAAATAAATAATGTCTACATGGCTACATGGTTACCATATTTAGAGGATGCATTTCTGTGTAAGAGGGATACCTGGATTTTGACTGCAATCACGACAGAGATGAGTTCCTTGTCCAGCTCCTTCATCACTACCAGCTTCTTTAGAGTCAGACTGCACAATCTGAAACAATGAAACAAGTAATATTGGCCTGAGTTAAATCTGCAGCAATCATATTACAATGCACTACAGAGAAACAGGGAGACAAATATAGTTTCAAAGTGAACAAAAATTGTACTTTGATAAAATACACAAAATTAGTGGGGAACAAGTTTTATATTTAACATCAGAGCTAGATGTATCATTTTTTTCCAATGAAAAACTCCAAAAATGTGGCAAAAGAGTAATAATAGCACATGACAATAATAATAATAATGATACTAATAAACGATATGACACAGACAAAAAAAAATCCCCTGTACAGATATAAATCCTCAGGAATAACAAGAACAGTAATGACGTTTCACACGATTACTTTTTTGCCATTCCAGAAACAGCTTTGTTGTATGATACTGCTTTACAGTCACTACTGGCGCTTCAATGAGGTCTCGACTGCATCTCAGCAATTTATCAACTATCCTGCAATAAACTGAAGAAAAGTTACAAAAAAAATAAATCAGCTCACTTTGCATGTCCAACATGGCCACATTTCCTGCTTATAATATTTTTTGTTTAAAACTATACCCATTTGTCCATATACCTCTACAATCTATTTCAATTGTACAAAGTACGTAGAAGAAAGTCAATAAGAAATGCCATGACCTGATCTGACATGGTGCTATTTCAGCCTAATGACACACATGCATCACACTGATTTTGTAATAAGTTATTGATAGATTTTGTCCAAAGATCTACTTTAGTTTGGAACGGTGCCTTCATATGTTTAAAAACACAACTTAAATAATCTTTTATTATTATTAAGTTTTATATAGGCCCAGCAATGAACCACTGCCCAGAATAACTCGAAAGAAAACAAAGAACAGTGGGCTTTTCTCGTTTGTTCATGCTGCTACAAAGGACAATTGTATTGTGCACATCTGCAGTTTCTCCTGTCTGAGCCATTTCACCAGCCTGTGCCAACTCTCTTATCCACAATGTATTCATAGCTAAATACACCTAACAGCAAGCTTACGGCGGATCGACATTTGACATCTTTGATTTTAAAACTGTTTAAACTGCATTCGTAACCTATTATTACAGTAAATTCAACGTAAATGACTTTCAACGGGCTAACGTATGTGGGTCTAATCACAGGGACGGAACAGCATTTTACTCGCCACTTTAGTCAAATGTGTCACTGCTTCAAAATCAATATAAAATTTTACAGCAAAGTTTTGAATGTGCATTTGTTTAAATTTGGTCAGATCAGAAGAAGAACTACAGAAGCGGGATTCGGCTTCACATAAAAAAAAATCACATTAATAATGTCAGGCAACACAAAATAACTATTGGATGATTCATTCAATCTCTTAATAGTTTTGGTAATCCACCAAGGGCTCAACAGAGATAAAATGTATTAAAATGTCCCATGATAAACTGCTGTTATCCGTTGTGCTATCCCAGTAAAGATATTTAACATGAAAGCTGTATTTTATCCCTCTTGACCTCAGTTCCCACAATTAAAGATTACAAAATTATACATACAAATATTGAATCATAACAAGAAAACTAATCAAGAAAATAAAAACTATATATTACAAGAAAGTGTACACAAACTTTAAATCAACTTAAAAATAAGCAATAAATAAATACTGACATTTTAGTCATTCACTGCCATCACAATGAAACTAAAGGCAGGCTAAATGTTAATGGTATATAATCTTTAACAGTTAGCGGCAGTAGATACTATCAATCTGAAAACTCTTCACAGTCCCAGCTAACAACATTTGTTCTAGGAACATTTGCCAAACGTTACGATTAAGGTATGGAAACGTTCAAAGTGCCCAGTCTTCCTGATGTTCCCAGAATGTTATCCCACTACTACAACTAAGAATAATAATGGTGAAAAGGGTCTTGGAGAACCATGAGTACCACTGAGACTTTACACTTCTAAGGTCAAAAGTTCAAGGCTGGATGGTGTATATGTGCTTCTACAAAATAATAGTTTTATTATAATACAATATTTTTCAACATCAGTTATGTGGAAAAAAGATGTTCAGGTAATCAAGTTACCATTGTAACACTGACAGAACCTTTGTCACAATGAAACCTAGGAAATGATCCATTAAAATTACAGTAAAAGCATTATCTGTCAACTTTGAGAAGACCTTTAAATAAAATTAGCAAAAGTTTTGGGAACATTCCCTGTCAGCTGGGATCTAACACAGCACATTTTATAAGCAGCATCCTTACACCAAATCAGCCATAACATTAAAGTCACCTGCCTAATATTTTATAGGCCCCAATCTGGCTGCCAAAACAGCCCTCACCCGCTTAGACATGGACTCCACAAAACCTCTGAAGGTATCCTGTGGTATCTGGCACAAGACATCAGCAGCAGATCCTTTAAGTCCTGGAAGTTGCAAGCTGGGGCCTCCATGGGATGGACCTGCTTGCCTAGGGCATCCCAAAGTTGCTCGATCGGATTGAGATCCGGGAAATTCGGAGACCAAGCCAACATCATGTCCCTCAATCTATTATGGAACAATTTCTGCATTGTGGCAGGGCGCATTATCCTACTGAAAGAGGCCACTGCCATCGGGGAATACCGTTGCCATCAAAGAGTGTACCTGCTCTGCAGCAATGTTCAGGCAGGTGGTACGTGTCAAAGTAACATCCGCATGAATGCCAGGACCCAACAAGGCACACACACTAGGCCATCCACATGATGTAATATAAAACATGATTCATCAGACCAGGACACCTTCTTCCATTGCTCCATGGTGCAGTTATGATGCTCACACACCCCTTGTAGTAGCATCTGGCAGTAGACAGGGATCAGCATGGGTCCTTTAGCTGGTCTGCAGCTATGCAGCCCCATACACAGCAAGTCGCGATTTACTGTGTCTTTAACATCTTTTGGCACCACTTTACAATGAGTCTCCCTTTGCCGCTTATTAATTAATGGTAGTAACTCATTAATAAGAAGGAAACTGTGGTATAACTTGTTTATAGTTGTCTAGCAATGATTTACAAAGTGTTACAACCTAATTAATAACCTGCTTAAAAAACATTCATAATCCCTTTATGAGGGTAGCCTTGTTGTAAAGTCTATGATAGCCAGCATTAACTTTTTCAGCAGTTTGTGCTACAGTAGCTCTCCTGTGGGGTCATTTACATTTATAGCATTTAGCAGATGCTCTTTTCCAGAGCGTCTTACAACCAGTGCTTTGTAGTCCAAGACCAGGGGCTAGCCTTCGCTCCCCATGCACATCAATGAGCCTTGAGTGCCCAGGACCCTGTTGCCAGTTCACCGGTTGGCCTTCCTTGGATCATTTTCGGTAGGTACTGACCACTGCATACTGGGGATACCCCACAAGACCTGCCGTTTTTATAGAATCGGGTCTCACACGGGTCTCTAGAGATAAACAGAATGAGATTTAACAAGATGTGAAACTTGAGAAAGCAAATTCACAGGATGAGAAGCCAGAACGGCAGCTATTTTAAACCCACATTAAAAGACAACAACTACAGTTCAAAATGCAGACACCACTGGAGAAGTTTTGAAACCAGTGTGCAAACACACTTTAAAAAAAAACAAAAGATAAACTGGAAATATTTTATTTTCTCTATTCTATTCCTATGGCCCTGATGAGATACTGTTTTATTATTACTAGTGCAGAAAAAAGCAAATGAGTCCATGTGGACGAGGGATCCAACGTTATTTTTAGTTACCGCAAAACATATCATCTGAAATGTCACAGTGTGAAAAAAGCATCTTTGCGAGTACTAAGTTAGGGTGTGATGTGCAACTCGAAAGGTTAGGAATCTTTTTGAGTAGAAAATTGAGTTCAAATGCCTGGCTGATCATGTGCTCTGAGCCTAATACTTGCTCTCACCTATATATGCATGTGTCTGTGTGTCTGTGTGTCTGTGTGTCTGCGTCTCTCATGAGTATGGGATGAGAATACTACCTGAAATCCCATGGAGATAAATAAAGTACAACTATTTTTTTTCTGATAGCTTTGTTACAAGAGATAACACAGAGAAATGTATTACGATAATTTATACATCAATCCATCAACAAATTAGGACATTCTATTATGGCAGTGATCAAAACAGAAACATTAAAAATATGGCCATAAAATATACAACTCTGGAAAAAATTAAAAGACTACTCTATATTTTTCGTTTTTAAATCCTGGTTTAATCCTGGTTCTGCTACACTGGCTAAAAGCTTCCAGGCTCAAAGTTTCTAAGACCGCAGTACACAAAAACAAGATGAAGCAGGAGACACTGGGAATGATCAAAAACCAGCCAGGTAGAAGGCAGAAGCAATTTTGTACTGCCAGAGACGACCGTCAACTTATCCGGCAGTCCCACATAAATAGAAGGATGACCTCAAATGATCTTCAAAAAGAGTGGGAAACATTAAGGGGTGTGAAGTGCACTGCTAGGACAGTCCATAACAGGCTCCTAGAAGCAGGACTGAAGACCCATAAAGTAAGAAAGAAGTCCTTCATCAATGAGAAGCAGGGAAGAACCAGGCTGGAATTTGCAAAAATAATGTGTATTTTACACAGGTGCATACCCATAAATTGAGACATGAGTGAAATTGAAAATGTCAATGTGGTCTCTTAAGTTTTTCCAGAGCTGAATGTTCATTTTGAAATATAACCAGCCAGAATGGAGCCCAGTTCATGGACATGGCATTTCTCTATTGTCCATGGAACACCTCATCCCTGCTGACAAATACAAGCAAAGGTCAGTGGCTCTTATTAGCTGCAAAATGTGGACGGGCAGAAAACAGGGAGAACCGGGGGGGGAAAGATGAAAAGTACAAGTCAAAGTGTTAAGGTGATGTGTCAAATCTCATTATGGCAAAGAAGGTGAAGATTTACAAGGAAACAAGAGGCAGGAAGGATATAAGAGAGAATGTCCTGGAGAAATGCTGGTCACCAATAATAATAATAAAATTAATAATAAATCTGCTAAGCTCTGATCATGAAAAGCCTACCTTGACCTAGGGCTGGACAATAATTCGATATCAATATATATCGCGATATAATTTTTTTCGATAACGGTGATACGATTTTTAAACACATTTCCGATATTTCGATATACATTTGAATATTATATATATTCACCGGCTTTTAAAAATGTATCACAAGTGCTAAACAGCGCGTATTCAAAGCGCATTTGCATGGTAATTTGCTGAACAACGCAGCTGTGAAACGTGATCCAGGTAAAACTTTTTTAGACAGCATAAA